GTGGAACCCAAGGAACGCTGGACACGCCCCCGTGAAGCAATTCCGAATGTGTGGCCCTGGCAAGGGCCCCCAAGGGCCGGCCTTCTCTCCCACTTGGTTTCTTGGACAGCTGACGGCCGCTGTCTGCCGCGTTCTCGTGTCCGAGTCCTGGGCCCTTGGACACAGCGGGGAGGGGGGTCTGCCCAGCCTCCCTGCAGCTGTCCTGATATATCCATTTAGGGCTGGTCCCTGCCTGTCTGTGCACATCCAGCCCTGACCTCCTGACTTCATCGGTCTGAAGTCTCTCAGATGTGTCCTTCCTGCCCCCAGCTCCCAGGCACTTCTCATTGTCCCTCCCACTGCCCGGCCCAATAAGATTCAGCTGAGACCCAGCAGCGTCCCATGGACAGCTCTTCTCTGGGGCCCGGCCTAGTCATCCTAGTGACCGTACAAACATCCATTCATTATTGTACGGCTAATGATGCACTTGGGGACTTGGGGCCTGCCCTGGCTATTTGTCCTTAAGTGGAAGGCCCCCAGACCGCCAGGCTTGGGGAGCCCTAGTCTACTTCATTAGCAAACTCTTCTGTCCCTCCGCCTCTACCTACACTCATTGCTGACTTACTGCTTCTTTGCAAGAAGAAGCCACATCTACAATTGGGATGAATGGTTCTCACCCTGTAGTCTTTCCAGGTTTTGATCTCAGGATGGTAGGAACCTGCGGGCCTCCTCCCCAAAGACTTCTCCCCCATCCTGCCTGGGCTCCTGAGGAGCACTTGGGTAGACAGAGAGCCTGGGACCAGCCTGAGAACGGTCTTTTGACGGGTGAGTGCCTTGGGCCGGGGTGTCCCCAGCAGGGGGCCTTTACCAGGCCTCCAACAATGTCTTCTAATATTCTGCTCATGGGACTTCAAGATAATGGTTTTCTCTGGCAATCCCACTTATTTTATTTTCTGCATTAAAAACCTGATTCTGAGAAGGAAGAGCACCCTAGGCTTGGTCTGATGGAATCCCCAAGGGGGCCAGGCACAGAAAAGGTGAAGGGGCCTCCTGCTCCAGCAGAGTTCCCCAGGTCCTGGGACTGAACCAGACAGTGTCAGCTGTGGTGCGAGGAGCCTCAGCCGGGATCCCGCCCCTGATTTTACAGATAGGGAAGCTGGGGCCCAAGCAGGCCCACCTTGTGGGGAAGGGCCACGGCTGTTGTCCGCAGAGCTTCTTGACCCGAGCTGCCCAGTCCAGAAACATCTGGCTCACCAAAGCCTGCCCGGCTCTGCCCACTCTCACAAAGCTTCCTTCTCTGGCCTCGGCTCCCTTGTCGATGGCCCTCGGTGGGCCACCCTCTGCCTCTCGGGCTCTGCAGGCCACGCCAGGCCGCAACCCTGGCCTCCTGGTCCTCAGGCCAGGGAGCCCCCCACTCCTCCCTCCGTGCAGACCTCGAGACCGTCCTTAATGCGTTCCATATGGCACAATAGGAAGCAGAGCTCGGAAAGTGCTGAGGTTGGCAGCAGCTGTGGCGCGGATGCCGCGAGAGGCGCCGGGCTTCCCTGGCCCTTCTCCAGCCGATCTGTTTGTGGGGAAGCTCTTGAGGTTGAGAAGTCAACCGAGACTTTCCATTTTACAGACCAGCGGGCAGCTTCCCCTTCATTTGGCTTTGCTGACTTAGGGGGAAGCTGAAGCCCTGCTCGGCCGGCCACAAAGCATCTGGTTTGGCACGTGTCCAGTGGGAATGGAAACCCCCAAGGCCCCAGCCTCAGAGAAGCGCCTGCGTCCTGGGGCAGGGAAGGAGGGGGCTCCCTGCCCTCTCGGCCCGGGCTGCCCGGCTCGCCTGCGGGGCCTCCCTCCTCAGAGTCCGACAGGAGTCCTTCCCCAGGGGTGCGCTGCTGCAACATGTAGGGGAGAGGTCACCCCTAGTCCCACCCCTCTGCCCCACTTCCCTCCTCTGTTGGGTTAGAAACGGGCTCAGCCTTAGCACCCAGAGTCCACAACCCAGGGGTGTTTCTGCCCACCCGCTTCTGCCTCCCCGCACAGGTATAAGCAGCTGCCGGGCAGGGCGGGCTCCCACCCCCCTTTCCTTAAAATACAGATTCCTCAGTCTGACACTGAAAGCCCTGCCCAGTCATTTCAGGCTGATGCCATTTGAGGCAAACTGACCCATCTGCTGTTCCCCACGGGCCCTTCCATGTGGAGCCTCTGCTCGGCCTGTCCCCCAGGCCTCAAAGACTCTCCCATCTGCCTGACAAGGCTCGGCTTGGGTCACTTCTGCCCCCCTCGCTGTCTGTGGGCGTGTTGCATCAGTGTCCCCAGAGCCTAGTATACAGTGAGCGCTTCATAAATGCTGCTTGGTCCTTTGTCACTGTGCTCCGTTCCAGGGTGTGTTCATCTTGGTCTCAGATGCAAGCTCTTTGAGGGCAGAGCTCGTCCTGGCTGCATCTCCTTCCATCAGGCTGTTGACTGACTGACTGTCAGCTCCAGGCCGTTTCTTGGTTCTCATCCAGACGTGCCCACCCTCCCTCATGGCTCCCTTCATAAAAATGAAATAATAACAGACAGCACTTAGCACCTGTGGGGTGCCAGACTCTGTGCTGAATGCTTTACCCTGCCAGGGCGGAGGGGGAAACTGAGGCATTCAGAGGTGCAGCCGAGAAGGCAGTGACAGCGTGATTCAGGTCACCTGTTGTGGCAAGGTCAGGGGGCTCTGCCCCAGAGGGGATCTCCAGGCCCTGGACATAAATATGCTCATCCCTCCAGGCGGGAAACTGAGGCTCAGATTTGGGTGAGGGGACTTGTCCAAGACCTCACGACCCATCCCACAAAAGCCACAAGGCTCACACCTCACTAAAGCCCCTGGATAAGCGCCATCAGCAGACCTTGGCAGTGAAGGCTTGAATTCTGGAGAGATGTGGGTTCAAGTGGCACCGTGGACCACCCCTCTCGCCACTCCCTGCCTCTGAGGCTCAGTTTCCTCACCTGTAAAATGAAGGTGGCACTTGGCACGCTTCTCATTCCACCGCAGTTGAGAAGCAGCCAAGGTGAGCCTGCTCCATCCCATGGTAGGCACTTCTCAGTGTTTGCTGGCTGACTGACTGATCCCCAGCCTCCTGTGTCAGGGCCCCAGTCAGGCATCAGTCAGTGGCGAAGACTGGGCCCCTCCTGGCTCAGGAGCCCAGGTCCAGCTGGCAGTGGGGCTGGGTCAGGGTGCTGCTCCCTCCAGAGGGCACCGGCCAGGAGACTTTGGGGGCCACAGTGGGGGGTCTCAGGAAGAAGTATGGAGCCATCTGGGAACCCATTTCTTTTCTTTTCCCATACAGGAGAAATACCCTGCCATGGTGCAGCTTCCAGGAGGCACAGCTGCAGACTCGATGGGGCTTCAGAGCCCCCACGTGCCCGGGTGAGTCCAGCGTGGACCTTCCTGGAGACGCTGCCAGCGAGGACCCGAAGCCCCAAGTCGGCCTCATCTGGGTCCCTCCTACCCCATGCGGCTGTTCCTCAGGCCCTCATCCCCTCACACCCAGACCCCACGGGAGCCCCCTCGTGGGGGTGCCGGCCTCCCGTCTCTCCCTACTCAGGCCATCCTCTTCTCACCTCACTTGCTAATGGGATTTCCCTCAAGAGCAGGTCTGGCCATTTCGGCTCTGCTTCTTCTGACTGGCTTTTCCCCCCATTTCCAGTCTGCTTACACCTCATTGCCTTCCGTGCCACCCCATCCCCTTTGTCTGCGCTATGTTGGGACTTGGCTCGTCAGACACCTCCACCATGTCCTTGTACCCCGGGAAACTCCCCCGGGGAAATCTCATTCTGCATGATGGAATCAGCCTTGGTGGGTGCCCTGTGACCCAGCCTCTAACCCTGGGTCTCCCGTTTGTCTCTTGGGTTGACCTATGGGTGCAGCGTGGTCATCTCCCCAAAGACAGGGACCACAGCCAGCCCAAATAAACACTGGTTGGTTGGCTGGCCGATAACCCTCATTGACTGACTGCTCTGAAGACCAACCTGGCTAAGCTCAGAAGCCTTCAGGCTGGCCCTCCATTTGTCCACCAGGACCGAGCCCATCATAGTCCATCCACTGAGGGCCTGACAGGGGGTTGTAATCCGCATGGCATGAATGACAGCTCCCTCCCCATCCTGGGCGGCTGAGAGTGAACAAAGGTCTTGTGACCAGCAGGCAGGGACAGAGGGCAGGGTGGTATTTGGGGGCGGGGAGAGGACATTCACGACAGTGTCCAAACTCTACCCCTCACAGATTTGAGCTTGTGCTCGTGTGGACGGTGCACATAGATGCAGAAGGGAAGGTTGTGCCCGAGCTGGACCTTCTGACAAAAATCCCAGAGCAAGGTAGGTAGGGTCCCCGGGGTCTCCCTCTAGCCCGGTACCGGTCTCTCCCACGGGCGACTCTTCTTCCCAGAGCTGCATATGCTCCCTTCACTGTGACTCCTGCCTTTCTCCACTACTTGGCACTGATGCAGACAGGAAAGGCCCTTAAACGTGTCTGATGCATTAATGGTCTCTGTTCCTGGAACACTCTGAGGCTTCATTTTACAAATGTGCCCCTCCTGTCTGGGCCCACGGAGAGGCCCGAGGGTCTTTCCTCTGGCTCCAGGGTGATGAGGCTGAGGCCTTGGGGAGGGGCTTTTGCATACACGGGGTAGGGAAGTGGGGGGCACACCCAGCCCAGCCCCTCAGTCCTCAGAATAACAAGCTTGTTAGCCTAACACGTGCAGACCTGTCCCCGGTCGCCCCATCATGAGCAGGCTCCAGGAGCTGTGGTCCCGCCTTGCAGCCAACCCCATCCCACAGTCCCTGAGCAGAGCTGGCACAGGCTGAAAGGCCCGTTGTTAAAGGTGTGTCTTGGTGTTCTGCTTTCCCCCTACAGCCCTGACCCTGGACCAGAAGGAGGTGGTGGTGCGAGCCCCCCACTGTTTCCGGACCCTTCTGCAGCTGCTGGGCATTGAGGCTGCCATTGACAGCCTGATTCAGCTACTGCGCACAGAAGAATGAAGACCACCTCTCACGGCAAGACTGGCTGTGTTGAAAGATTCTTTAATTAGGAACCTGCTCGTTTGCAGCTGACAGTTATATTGAATATAAACATTTGCGATTTTCCATTTATAAACCAAACCTTCCTCCATGCTCTGTACAAGTATGGCACGTGAGATAGAAATCCTCATGACGGAAAAATAAATAGAGCCATTTAAATAAAAAGTGATGGGCCCGCTAGTGTACTTTAAAAAGAAGCGTAGCGGCCGGAGTGGTTGTGTGTCCCTAATGTTTTTTAAACCCTGGGATCTGACAGGACCCATCGGGTCCCTTCAGTGTGGGGGGTGCAGGGGCGCCTTCCCTTCCAGGCTCCAGCTGCCTCTTCCAAACTGCCTCGGGTCCGGCGGGTGCTGAAGCTCTCCGGGGCTCCCTCTCTGGGCTATGATTTGCTCACTGGGGCCTCTCACAGCCACAAACCAGTCCCTACGGGCAGGACTTCCCCTTCGACCCTCCCTTCTCACCACAGAAAAGGCCAGTGAGGGCTGGGCCGCCACAGTGCAGAGCCCACGCTTTGCCCACCCCCTCCTCCTTGCCCAAAGGTGGCAGTGACCACAGGCCACCTAGAGGGTGGGCGTGCGCAGCAGGGCTGGGTGTGGGCCCTGAGATGGTCTCCTGCCCCTCCTTGGACATATGTGGGCCCTCATGCTGTCACCCATGTCTTAAAGTGCTGTGATGACCGTGGGCCCGAGGAAAACCCAGCCATGAGGGGAACCAGAACATGAGAACTGGTCAGTGTGTGCGGAGGAGCAAGAGGTCAGTGTGAGAGCTCTGGGAGGGACCACCTGGGCGAAGGAAGTCCCAGGTCTGAGGGGGGGCCATCCTCTGCTGCTGATGTCAATTCTGACTTTCCTACCCGGAGAGAGCAGCTCTCAGAAAATACATTGGCTGTTCCGTGCCTGCGCCCTGTCTGTGTGGGGCGGGGGCTTGGCCTAACCTTAGGAACCCCCCGTTCACAGCCTCATCCTTTCTCTCAGACGCTGCCCTGGCCACCCAGCTGACACGGGGAAGGAGGGAGTGAAGGGCCAGCCCAGGAGGGCCGCCGCCCGTAAGATCAACAACATTGCCTCAATCTTTCCCCAGGAAGGAGCATCATGGAGCCTCCACTGCGAAAGCCCACCAGGGGGATGGCTGCCAGCCCGAGGGGAGGGGTGTCCTTCCCAGGAGTGTCTGGGCCACAGGCAGAAGCATGCAGGAACACAGAGACTGATCCAGATTCACATTGCTCAGGGCACGGTATCCACACTGGACTCTCTGTAGGCTTCATGAACACATCTTCCCTGAAGAGGTTCAGGGCTGCAGGCAGACCCCCATCAGGGAGAAGGAGGGGCTGGCTCCTGCTGTCCCCAACAGGGACATCGATACTCAACCGGAAGATGGACTGGCCCGTCTGCCCGAGCTCAGCACACACAGGTTCGAGAGATCCTAAGTGATGTGCGAGGCGGCAGCCCAAGAGGAGCCTTGTCCAAACAGGGCCTTCCCCTCGCAGGCCCGTCGGGGGACAGAGCCCCAGGCAGGGTGGGCACAGAGGAGGGGACCCCAGGCATGAGTGGGGCAGTGTCGGGGCCCAAGAGGCCAGAGGCCCATCACCAGGCAGGCCAGCTGGCCGCCTCCTCGGGCTGGCGCTGGCGCCTCAACACAGGGTCTAACGACAAAAGGAGCTCGGTCTGGAAACAAAACACCCGAGAAAATCAGCACGCTCTTGGCCTTCCACCCATCCCAGCCTCACTCTCTCGGCCGTCATCTTTAATAGCAGCACATGGGGAGTCACCCACCACCTCCCTTGCCCCAGCCCACTGACCAAAAGGAAACGGGAGACCCCCGGCGGCCAGGCCCAGGCTGCTCCGGGGGTCTTGGGGACGGGGGCGGAGACGAGGGCACTTCTCAGGGAGGGGGCTCTGTGGGAAATCCGTGCCGTCTCTTATCAGGGAACAAAGCACAGCTGGGTTCCCCACCGCGGCCCCACAGGTAACTAGGGGAGCCGGGCGGCCTCCCCCTCTCCTTGCACCCGCGGGCCACTCCTTCCTTCAGGTGCTCCGCTTCCAATATGGTCAGAGCAGAAACATTCACAGCCCCAAACTCCCTGGCCACGCAGGAGAGGAGCGCCCAGCCTGCCGTCCCCCACCCGGCCTGCTGTCCCCTCCCGGGCCGGCCGTTACACCTTGTGCAGAACCAGGGTGCAGTCGTCCGGCTCCGCCAGTAGGCCCGCCTTCCCGGGCTCCTTCTTGGGGGGCACGTTCTTCAGGTAGTAACTGACAATCTTGCCGTCCAACTTGTGCTGATGGGGGATGCTTTCGTAGGGCTTGAGGTCCAGATCCAGGACGGAGACGGAGAAGGCAAATCTGGCCCTCGACGCAGGGATGACGGGGCGCTGGTCGGAGCTGCAGACGCAGAAGGCGGTTTCAGAGTGGTCAGCAGCCCGCTACCACCCACGGCCAGGAGACCCGTCTGCACGTGTCGTCACCCCCAGGGACAGCATCGTCAGCACACAGCAGGCCCTTAAAAAATGCTCCTCAGCGGCTCCATTCAAGACCTTGGAACGGAGACTCTTAGAGGACCAAGGCGCTGCCCAGGACCACCCCCTGCCTCCCCCCATGACCTCTTGAAGAGCTCAGAACAAGAGAAAGAGAAGGGGAGCTAGAACTTGGGAGTGACCCCAACGGGCTCCCCTTTCTGGAGCTGCCGACCTGGGGGGCAGGCAGGCTTCCCCCAAGGAACTGTCACGGGGGTCCACTGAAGCCCCCCAGCCCCAGCCAGAGCGCGCGGCCAGGGAGAGGCCTCAGCCGCCGTGGCCGCTAGGCGGCCAGGCTCTGTACCATGGACAGGCCCTTGCTGCTTTACTTGGGGCCCTGGTCAGACCTCAGAAACAGAGCAGACTGAATCGTGGGGTGTGGGCCCGGGTCCCCTCCTCTCCATCTGCCGGCTGCCGGCACCTGGAGGACCCTACATTGTTCGTGCCCTGGCCGGACAGGCAGCTAGCCCAGGCAGGGGAGGGTGAGCTCTGACCCCCTCCTCCCTCCCCTGGCTCAAAGGGCCCACCCCCCTCGGGGACCCCCGGGACCCTCACCACTCATCCTGCAGGCAGGGCGACAGCGCGATCATGATGGAGCAGTCCTTGGCGGTCATGGCCACTCGGTACTGCTGGACCTGGGCGACAGGAGGGAGGTCGGGGTGAGCAGCAGCCCTTGTGCTGGCAGCCGCAGAAACAGGCAAAGGGGGCCCAGCACCGACCCTAAGCAACTGCATCCCACCTGCCTGCTCAGATGCTGGCCACACCCCAAACGGGATGTCCACTTTGAGACCCGTCAGCTGTCAAAAATGGGAGAAATGCCAGGTCTGCAGCCACACCGAGAGCAGGGAGGAAGACACTGGGGCATGATAAACACAGCATGCCATGGGCCACCCAGCCTTGGGGGCTATAGGCCAGGCCTTCTCCGTGGAACAGAGCCATACTGGGGCTGGGAGGAGGAGCCAGGAAGGAGATCAGCATCTGTGTCCCGCTATGGGGAAGGCGCCGTCTGCATGCCTCCCCTCTGGCTGCCTCCAAGCAACCACAAACCAGGGTCCTCACACTAAGGGGGAGCCCCCCAAAGTCCAAAGACAACCTCTCACCCAGACTGAGCATTCAGGTCCGCAGAGGGGCTCCTGCCTCCCTGCCCCGGCCCCCTGCCCTTCTCTGGCCTAGTGCCCCCCGGGCAGGCCCCAGCTCCACACCTCACTGTCCTGTCCATCTATGGTACAGCCGCTCCCCTAGTGACAAAGGCCTTCTCCTGGGGTCCCAGCCCGGGGCCCTGTCCTCTGGACCAAGTGTTGTAGACCCCATTCTCACTGCAATCCCCCAAGTTCAGTTCCTTAAACATGCTGTCACGCCTGCTGCTTTGTTCAGAGCAAGCGCGACACCTTTTCATTAAAAGCCTCAGGACCTGGACAACCCCCAGAGGTTCCAGAGCCAAGCCAGGGTCCCGGGCCTGGTGTGGGTCACTCCCCATGGGGACACACGTCAGCAAGCAGAATCAGCCCCAGAGGGCCGAAGGCACCGGACACCACAGTGCCCAGTCTAGGCCAGAGCCACGGTGTGGCCCCAGGGGCTGTGGCCAGGAGCGATGGGCAGGCTTTGGCCTGTTCTCCCTTTTCCACAATACTTCTTCAGCCCTGACAGTGTCCAGAAGGAGTCTTGGGGTCTGCTGTGGCCACCTGAGCCTTCTTTGAGGGAGAGGTCTGGGCTAGAAAACAGTGACCCGCCCTGCTAATGTGCCCTACAGAGATGTTGATAAAGAAAGGGGCCATCTGCCCACAAGGAAGGGAGGCACTGGTGAAGTGCCTACTGTGTGCCGGGTGCTGTTATGATCCCCACTTTACAGCTCAGGAAACTGAGGCAGGCAAAGTAACCTGCCCAGAGACACTTGGCTACTGAGCATCTGAGGCTGGATTTAGGGAAAGGAGGCCCGGGCAGGCAAGCTGGGGGCAAGATCTTCAAAAAGCGAGGGAGCGTCCACCAGCCATTTACTTCTGGGCCTGAGGAGGGGGAGGGCGGCCCAAAGCTTCTGGGCTGGGCTCGGTGCCCCAACCCCAGGGCCACTACCTTCGTCAGGGCATAGGCTAGGGTCCCGTCGTCTTCCGTGGAGAGGTCCCGGAGTTTCTGGTAAAAGGCCTCGTTGTAAGGCCCGTCTATCTGCAGCAGGTCCCTGAGGAAGAGGAGGAACAGAGGGGCTCAGCCCACCCATCAACAACACAAGCATCCAGTGGGGGGTCTAGGGGGAGCAGTCCCCCTCATGGGGACGGCCATACCTGCAATGTGAGGGCCTGGGTGGCCAAGAAAGCCGAGCTCCCAGAGAATGCACCGTGGCGCACGGGGAGCGTGAGAGGCCCTGAATGCCAAAGTGGAAGTGGCGGCTTGGCACAGGACGCTGGACCCTGGACTGGGAGTTAGGAAGACCAACCTGGGTTCAAATCCAGCCTCAGACACTTACTAGCTGGGCAACCCCTGGGGGGAATCCCTTGACTTCCTCATCTGTACAAAGAGGGGGGCTGTAAAGGCTCCCTCCAGCTCTGATCTAGGATTCCATGAGTTAATGACCCAATCAAAGCATAAGGGAACCGAGTCTGGGTCCAGGGTGGAAGGACAAGGGCCTGTCCTGACCTCACAAGGAGGGCAGAGATGGGATGATGAGAAATGTGGGGCGGTGAGGGAGGGGCAGCAGAGGACACACGGGACAGTGGAGGGAGAAGGGAGAGCCGTGGGCGGTGCCCAAGGAGGGGTCACGGCGGGCAGCTGCCCCCCAAGAGGTGATGCCCTACACGTGGATGCCCAGGGGAAGCCCCAGAAGGACACACGGGACAGTGGAGGGAGAAGGGACAGTGGAGCCATCAGTGGCTGGAGGGCAGAGGCGAAGCCCCCAGTTCAGGGGGTCAGCCGGCCACGGGGGGGCGTGGGCAGGGGGTGCCAGTTCTAGTCTGGGTCCCTGAGAAGCCCCCACCGCCCGGAGGGCCCTGGCATCAAGGACAACGCCCTGGCAGCCTCGGACTTGCAGTGCCCGGGCTGCAGCCAGAGCCAGAGCGACAGCGCCCTCGTGTGGCCACAGGGTGAACGAACAGCAGGACACTGGGCCAGAGGCAGGGCCTCCTCTCCTCCAGACCGCGGACTCCTGCAGTGCCCTGGCCATTGTGCCACCCGGCCCCTCTGTTTTTTGGTTGGGTCTGGAGCAAGGAGAGGGACAAACCAGCCGCATCCTCGCAGCAGGCGCGAGGAGGTGTGCGGCCGGCCATTCCCCACGGTGCCCTCCCCCGGCCCCCGGGGACGGTCACCACAGGGTCAGGCCGGACTCCCGTGGTGCCTGCTGGGGTAAACCGAGGCCGCCGCTGGAGCCCTACCTCTCCTCGGGAAACTCCTGCAGGTGGCGCTCGACGCGGCGATAGAGGGGGTAAAGGCCCTCGATGTCCAGGAGGTCCAGCATCTGGGCCTGCAGAGTCTTGTAGAGAAGGCAGCCCCGGGGTAGCCCTGAGCCCTCCGCGTGGCTTTTCCCTACAAGGAACAAGGCCCGGAAATGACCGGACAGCCCCGGAACTGGCCGCTCGGTGGGGCAGAGGGTGACAGACACCTACCAGTTGTGAGACCCTGGGCAAGTGGCCTAGGCACTGTCTGCCTCAGTTTCCTCATCTGTAAAAACCAAGGACAGGGCAGCCCCTAGCTCCCAGCATTGTTGAAAAGATCAGAGACGGTCACCGTAAAAGGGCTGAGCCCAGCGCCCGGCAGACGGTGGGCACTAGATAAATGCACATCCCCTTTCCCTTGCCTGAAAGCATGCCCAGATCTCCCCGAGCATTAGAAAAACAACTACAAAGACTCACTTCACTCAGTGGTCCCTGGGGGTCTTCTTAAATCTAGCTGAACTTCTCAGATGCTTAATCCAAGACCTCCCACCTCCTATGCACCATGCAGGATGCCAACAGCACCTGCCCTCCTGGAGCTTACACTTGGGCGTGCCCACCCACCCCGGCCCTCCCCACCCTCACTCGCCGTGCCCGCCTCCCTGGAACCTGCCCCATCATCTTTGGAAGAGGGGAGGCTGGCACCCAGCCCTCTGGCACCCACATGCACACGCGCACATATATACGTACACACACACATGATGACCACACAAATCACTAGTGTTCACTCAACAGATACACATCTATTAAGCGCTTACAATGTGCCAGGCATCGTGCTAAGCACCGAGGATAAAAAAAGACAAAGAAATGCCCCTGCCCTCGAGGAGCGCTGCGGCACATCTGTACAAACAAGCTCCACCCAGAATAAAGCTGAGCTGATGAGCACCAGGAAGGCCCCTGAAGGCTTCCTGCAGGAGGTGGCGCTACCAGAAGATGGGAAGGTTGGCAGACGGACATGGCCAGAAGGCCGGGGCTGCCTGACCGAGGAGCACGTGGAAGTCAGGAGGTTGTAGGCGTAAGAAGCCTGGAAAGAAGGGGGGCTCAGCCAAAGAGGATTTGGTATTGTCTTGGGGCCGTAGGCAGCCACTGCAGTCTCTGGTTAGGGGGTGACACGATAGGATCCGAGCTGTAGGAGATGGGAGCTGGTCCTTAAACCCACACTGAGGTGACCCGGTGAAGCAGGACAAGGGGAGAGGACCTGAGAGCCACCCATGCTCTGGAGGAGGAGCCAGCCAAGGACACAGAGAAGGAGCGGTCAGAGAAGGGAGGAGGAGCACCAGGAGACAGCGAGGTGGTCCTGAAAGCCTGGAGGGTGGGGGCATCAGGGGGGAGAGAGCGATCCACGGTGACCAAGGCCACAGACAGACCAAGGACAAGGAGGACTGCGGAGAGGCCAGCAGGGCCTTTGGGGGAGGACGAGGTTGGGAGCTGTACTGTGAGGGTGAGAGTGTGGGGGCCCCTGTGGCTAGTGCCTTCACATGGAGCTTAGCCACCACGGGCAGAAGAGATCCAGGATGGTCAATGGAGGTGAAAGGGTTAGGGGGTGGGGGAGACCAGAGCACATCAGGAGGCAGGAGGGAAGGAGCCAGTAGGCTGGGAGAGGGGGAGGATGGCTGGGGTCACTAGAGCAGGGGGAGGGCTCGGCCTTGGTCAGGAGTCAGGCCGCCTCATCGTCCCAGACAGGGGTGAAGGAGGAGTGAGGGGCAGAGGGTGCCTGGGTGATGGAGGGGAGGAGCAGCTGGGGGAGCCAGGGGAGGTCTGAGGAGGTGTGAAGGCCTGGAGGGCGGGGGGGCCTGAGGAGGGGGGCAGAGCAGGATTGTCAGGCCACGGCAAGGGCCCAGGGCAGGCTGCAAGCGACTCCTGAGAAGAGGATGCTGGTGCGTTGGCACAGCATGGGGGCAGAGTGTGGTCAGTGTAGGGGAGATGGCCTGGGAGAGAATCCAGGGTGAATGGCGAGAATGGAGAGCAGGGTCATGGATGGGAAGGCGCAGGCAGAAAGCCGGTAGATTATGGGCGGCTGGGGGAATTTCGGCATTGGTAAGTATGGAGATGGTCCTTTGTGGGTGGTGGCAAGGCCATGAGTGTGGCCGGAGGGGTGGACAGGCTGAAGAACTGAGTGCTTAGGGCATGTGAAGGAGAATCAATATGTTCGCTCAAATCCCCTAGGATGAGGGCTGGGGAGGGGGCAGGGCAGGTCGGGCACTGATCACCTTTGAGGAAGGAAGGGGGGGACCTGGGGGTCTGCAGGCGACCACTCCTCACGAACCTCAGAGGAGGAGGTTACTGAGTGATGGAGGAAGTGGGAGAAACTGGAAGGGGCAGTGGGGAGGGAGCTGGGATCATTCCAACACCCCCTCCTCCTGCAGTGGGTCGAGGAGTGAGCGCAGGCGCAGCCAGGACTGCAGGGGAGGGCGGGGAGGCTGCATCATCGGGGGACAGGGCCAAAAAGAAGGGAAACTGATCCAGACGCAAAACGTGAATAGACGCCCTCTTTGTAGCAGCAAAGAGCAGGAAAAGAAAGCAGACGCTGACAGACAGAGAGCAGGGCGCAGAACCCGGGTCAGAGCGAGCCTCGGCCACCAGAGTCCACGTGAACCACGGTGAGGGAGGCCGCCAGCCTCAGAGGAGCGCAGAGCCCCGCACCCACGCTGGGGATTGGGCCCCGTGCCCACACAGAGCCCACACTGGGGATGGGCCCTGTGCCCACACAGAGCCCTGAGTCCGTGCTGGGGATAGGCCCCGTGCCTGTGTGGAACCCCGCGCCCACGCTGGGGATGGGCCCTGTGCCCACACAGAGCCCTGAGTCCGTGCTGGGGATGGGCTCCCGGGGCATCAGCCAGCAAGGAGACGCTAGGTGCGGGGGGAGCAGGAGCCCTACCGTTCCTCAGCAGCTCTTTACTGAAAGGACTGGCTTCACAGCAGCTCCTCCCCTGCGAGGAGGGCACCAGCCTCATGTCCCCGGCCCGGCACTTGTCCGTGCTGCTGAGCAGAGTCAGCGTGATCACGTGGATGAGCTCCTTGATGATCGTCCCGGTGCAGTGTGGCCCACCGACCAGCCCGTTGGAGGGGTAGAAGAAGGGCTTCAGGTGGCAGGCCAGCTCGTTCCAGTCCGCGGCCGTGTCCCGCTGGTCCCCGCAGCCGTAGATGAGCTCGCCGTTCTGCCGAGAAACAGAAGACACATGCATGCGGTGGAGAAGTGCGCTGGGCAGGGCATCGAGTGCCGCGCACGGCTCCGCCACAGCCCACTACGCCCCCTCCCCCCCACTTTACACCCTGTTGGTCTCAGCTGGCTTCAGGCTAAGCAGACATCACTGATCCCATTTCACAGAACGAGGAAGAGTGAGGAGGTCAGTTGGTGGGAGGTGAATGAGCTAAGAAAGGCAGCAGGATGAGAACGTGGGTCTTCTGACTCAGAGACCACTCGGGGTTTTCCCAATGGATATGGTCAAAGCGTTTGAAGGAGACATTTCTAAGGAGGAAGTCCAAGCAAAGGTGACAACAGAGAAAGATGCGAGAAAACAGGCACACTGGTGCATTGTTGGTGGAGCTGTGCGCTGGGCCGGCCATTTGGGAAAAGAGTGTGGAGGCACTCGCTGCACCACCCTGCAACCCAGAGAGAGCACGAAAGGAGGAAACGGACCCCCTGCACACAAACACGGACAGTGGCTCTTTTTGGAAACTGAGGTGTGGCCGTTGACCAAGGCGTGGTGGTGTGCTGGAAGACTGTTGTGCTAAAAGAAATGACGGAGGGGACATCTGCAGCGGAACCGAGACAACTGATAAATAACAGCAGCAGCGGCATCATAACGAAAACTCAGATCCAACAATGACCAAGCATGTTTTCCCCCAGGGCCTGCACTGGAGAGGTGCTGGTGCTGAAGTCAGGAAGACCCGAGTTCAAATCTCGCTTCAGATACTCCAGAGTGGGGCGACTCTATCCTCTGCCTGTCTCATACCCACTCCCAGCCTCGCTGGGAGGATCAACCTGAACCCCTTTAGCACAGGAAATAAGCACTAGGACCTAAGCCTCAACGTGCTCTTCTGAGGATGCCAGAAGGTCTGTGGTGTGAGCCACAGGCAGGAATCGGCTTGACGATGCATGTCTGTTAGGAGGACTTCACTTTTCCTTTCTTTTTCAATGGCGATAGGGACAGAGGTGGATTTTTACAAACAGAAAAAATAAGAAAAGTTAAAATTTTTTAAATAGCTCACTGCTGTTTTCCAGAAATCACAGACAATTCAGTTTTCACATACATGTGAGAGAAGGAAGGAGGGAGGAAGGAGGAAAAGGAGAGAAAGGAGAGGAGGGAAAAGAGGATAGGGAAGTGAGGAGAGGGGAAGTCCCTGAATCCTGTGTCCCCCAAATCAGTTTGCTCCCACATCTGACCACACTACACTCTTCCCTGCTTTGCCCGGGGGACCCCGTAAGCCCCGCAGCCTGGTCCATTCCCAGGTGTCCCAGAGGCAGCAGGAACCCTGGGCCCTGAGACCGTGGATGTCCCTGGCCAGTGTGGAGGGTGAGGGAGAGTCTGCAAGGTGAAGGAGGATCTCGGGGCCCCAGCTGTCAGGAGGGGAGGCTGCCAGCAAAATTTTCCGTGTGAACTAAGAGAAGCTTCCTCCCGGTTGGAGCCGTGCCCCTTCCTGGGAGGTCGGAGTAAGGCTGAGGTCTGTGAGGCACCACTGTGTGACCGAGTGCTTGCTGTGTCAAGAAGGCTGAAAGGGAAGCGGGGAAATAAACAGGCAAAGAGCAAACAAAATCACCCTTGTGCAAATGACAAGATGGCCTATCCGAGCTGAATGAAAAACTGACTGAAACCATCACTTAGGTTGTAGGACATAGAACAAATCCGCCTCAGCCCTCATCATTGTTTTACATTACCAACACAATCCAGCAGGTAGAGATGGAAAGAAAACAATCCATCCAAAATACTGGACCGACAGACAGCACAGAATACTTGGGAGTCTTATCTGCCAAGACATACCCAGGGAGTCTCTAAGTACAATTACAAAACACAACACAAGTACGGCCCTTAAAAACAGCACAAGGATTCACTGCTCACAGACAGGCCATGCCAATACAATAAAAATGACAATATTACCCTCAATTAATTTACTCACTCAGTGCCATAACAATCAAACTGTCTAAGCATTATTTTACAGAACTAGAAAAAACAACAACAAAATTCATCCAGAGGTCTACACGGTCAAGAATCTCAAGGGAAATTGAAAGAAACTTGACTACAAAGCACTAGTCATCAAAACCATTTGGGTGCTGGTTCAAAAACAGAAAGGACAATTAGTAGAAGGCCTCAGACACACAATGCTGAGAAGGAGACAGATGCAAAAGCCTGGTAGGAGGCCTCACTACCTGGGAAAGCTGGAAAGTGGCCTGGCTAAAATGGGACCTCGCCCACCATCTCATACCACGTAACAGGAGAGCTCCACCCGGACACAGAAAGAGGCCACAGCACAAACAAGAGGGAAGCGCCAGGAAGCTGGAGGAGGGCGAGGATCGGGGGACGACAAAGGGAGCGGGGCGCCTGTGCTTCATGACATCCAACCGTGCTGCACAAACAAAACCGGGGCAGCTAACACTGCAAGAGAACTGGGGCAAGGTCTCACATCCAAGACGTAGAAGGACCAGGCTCAGTCCGTCAGGCCAAGCGCCACTGCCAGGATCAGAGTAATGGTTGGTGGGACTCAAAGGAAAGAATCCAAGCAGCCACATGGAAACATGATCCAAATCACTAACAATTAGAAAGACACGAATTACAACGACTCTGAGGCTCCAAATGGATGCCAATGCACCAGACTGGCAAAGCTGGCAAAAGAGGAAAAGGAAAACGACTGGAGGGGCTGTCAAGAAACAGGCGCTTGGTGTGCTTGGTAGCGGACCCGTGAGTCGATCCAATCACTCTGTGAAGTGACCTGGAGCCACCAAAGAGAGGGCAAGATGAGCCACGCGTACGAAGGCATTTACAGCAGCTGTTTTTGTCATGTCAAAGAACTGCACATTCGGGGGTTCCCACCAGCTGGGGAATATCTAAGCAAACCATGGCACAGGCATGTGATGGAATATTATTGTGCTTGTGTAAGAAATAGCAGAAGGAATGGTTTCAGAGAAGCCTGGGAAGACTTCTGTGAACTGAAGCAGCATGAAGTTAGCAGAACCAGAAGAAATACTTGAAAAAACCACCTCATAATAAACAAAAACAACTTTCAGAGACTTGAGGACTTTGATCAATGAAATGGTCAACCAGGATTCTCCAAGACTAATGATGAAGCACGCTACCTACGTGACGGAGGGAGTGAAGAAGGGAGGGATGGAGGGAAGGAAGAGAGTGAGAGAGAAAGGAAGGAAGGAAAGAAGGAAAAGAGGAGGAAAGGCAGGGAATGAGGGAGGAAGAAAGGAAGGAGGGAAGGAGGGAGAGAGGAAGGAAAGGAGGGAAGGAAGAAAGGATGGGATGAAGGAGGGAAGGAGGGAGGGAGAGAGGAAGGAGAAGAAGAAAGGCAAGGAGGGAGGGAGAAAGGAAGGAAGGAAGGAAGGAAGGAAGGAAGGAAGGAAGGAAGAAGGAAGGAAGGGGAAAAGAGAACAATACTCATGCACTCAAAGAAATCAATTTGGGGATGTGTTTGAACAGAATTTGACTTACGTAAAGATTTTCAAAAACATAATGTGATTGATCCTGACCTTTCAAAAGTATCAACCCCCCCTACCAAAAACTGTCCCAAGAGAAACAATCTTACCTTAAATATCTTTAGGTTGTTCTGTGCTTCCTGTAACAAACTTTTCAAGGCAAAGTGCATTCTCTGTTTATTTCTGAAAAGGGGGTAAAGCAGGAGATGTTTTAAAAGTAGTTTCGGTCCATCAGAAATCCATTAAACGTTCCAAGTACTCGGCAGAACTAGTTGTACTAATTTTACCTTGGTCTTGAATTCTATTCAGAAGCTAGCCGTGGGCTGTACCCTAAAGTGGAGTCGAGCTAGGGGCCAATTCCCTGGAAAGGTGGCTTTTGTACCATAGGAAGTGACTGAAGGGACAGACGCAGAGAAACCCAGGAGGGCTTGTGTGAGACCACAGATGGAGGCTAGCAGGACCAGGAGAACAGGTATACGACTGCTACAATCCCGGGGGGAATGATGAGCCGCCAGGAGACTGACCGGTGCCCTCCTGCCCTGGATAAAGGTGAGGGGCTGGGGCTGGGGCACGAGGCCCACATGGGAACTTGTCTGCCTGACTACACTTCTATAAGGAAAGGCTCTGGGATAGGGAGAGGAGGGGGCAGTAGTGAGAGAGAGGAAGAAAAGACAAATAAAAAACAAATGAAAGTGTTCACCAAAAAAAGAGGAGAAGGAAGGGGACAGAAGTAAGGAGAGCAATGTGGGAACTCCAGAGGGAATGTAATTTTTTTAGAAACGGTTTCCATTCAACGTTACTTTCAGTTCCTGGATTAGTTTCGATCGTGAAACCTACTCCGCTTCATGGCGCTCCCTTCACCGCGGCCACTGCAGAAAGACGTGGCTCCGTCTCCGACTTCAGGGAGCTGGCCTCATTGGCCAGCCTTGCTTCACTCAGGGCTGCTGTTTGGATGCGACACCTGCCGAGTTCTCCCCCAACAAGAGCTGTTCATCCTCCAGGCCTACCGGTTTTGTGTCGTCTATGAGTGCGCACGTTCCGTGTACTGATGGTGAGTGGAATCATCTTTGTGCAAGTTTTTCTACATTTTTTTTGTCTCAACCACAGGGTGGGATCCCCATGCCGTGGTAGTCAGGTCAGGGTTGGGTAAGCAGACAATTTATAGGTCACCTTTTCTAGCCCCTTCCTCACACCAGGAGGTGAGCAGTGCAGTCCTTAAAAGGCTGCTCAGACACCCAGGGGGCTGCCGAATCCCACGGCTGCTTCCAGTGAGGAGATGACCCTGGGCCCAGGACGCCTGCATAGGGTCGTGACTACAGGCTCCAGTGCATCCACACCTGCTGCTTCGTCACTTGTCTGTCACCACAGGACTCTGAGATAGGTACAGATGGTCAAATGGTATGGGCGATGTCTTGTGATTCGTGCGTAAACTGGATTTCAGCGAGGCAGAGCTACACAAAGCCATCAGCCTCACTCTCTCTTCCAACATCATCAGATCCCATGGCAGGACAGAGCCAAGATGACTGGTGATGGCCCAGGATGCAGTGAGGACCTTGGCATCTTCAATGTCTGACCAAGCTCGAAGCATCCCCAGCTCCTGCTTCAGCCGCCTTCACAGCCAATGGAACAAAGTGTTCTCATCCACCCATTCTGCCAGGAGAAGTCTTCACGTGCCTGGCGTAGACACCCCCCAACTCACCAAAGGGTCTGAGACCCCACAGTTACCCTCAACCTGGTTCAGCCCGTCTGCTGAAAGAGTTTACCAGGGTGTGGCTGCTGTACATGCTCCAGCTTCTTGGAGCCACAGGTGAGAGTTGGGAGCCAGGTGGACACCAGAGGTGAATGAGCAGCCCTCCCACCAAAGATGCTGGTCCTCCCTGATAACACACTAACCAACTGAAGGTCTGCAGAGCCGTGGCTAACCTCCTTGTTTTATGCCTGTGAACCCTGGGCAGTCTACCAGCGCCATGCCAGGGCACAGAACTGCTTCATCTGAACTGTCTTAGGAAGACACTGAAGATCCCCTGGGGCAGGAGAAGGTGCCAGACACTGAAGTCCTTTCTCAAACTAAACCACCAAGCATTCAAAGTCTATTGCAGAGAGCGCCACTCTGATGGGCTGGCCATGTTGTTCAAAAGCCAAAAAGACTATTTTATGGAGAACTCACACAAGGAAGGTGCTCACATGGTGCTCAGAAGTCACACAAGGACACTCTCAAGGTCTCTCTTAAAAACTCTGGAATTGATTGTGAGACACAGGAGACATTGGCACGGCACCGCCCTGCATAGCGAGCCCCCACCACAGAGGGCAGTGTGCTCTGGGAGAAAGCAGAATTGAGGTAGCTCAAAAAACACGTGAGATGTGCCCATTTAGAGCCACGTCCACTCCAAATGTTCACATGGACTATCTGTGCCCAAGCTGTGGTAGAGCCTTCAGCTCTACTAGTGTGATCAGCCAGTCAGACCCTAAAGCAGTGACATCATTTCAGTCCTCTTCAAGAACGAAGGACAACCACCAAGCAACCATTTTCCTTTCCAAATTCTCTCCTTTCCCTTCCCCTCTGCCAGAAGGCAAGGAACACAAAACCCATGTTCAATCTCGTCTTAGAACAAAAGTCCGAGCTGCAGGCAGTAGATCCTGGGTCCTGTCTGAGCCTTGTTCTGTTCAAGTTTCCAATTCCGCCCTCACAACAGTGGGCCGCAGATACCCAGAACCTCTCTAGAGTGACTGCAGAAACCAGATTTCAGAGTGTTCAGGCCCAGCCCAGGCAGACAAAATCCCACTCGGGGAAGCCAGGAGGCTCTGAGGAGCCGTCCTCTGGAGGTACATCGGAAGAAGGGCCTTCTGGAGGGACCCACAAAGCTCAGGGAGAGTGCCCAGGTACCCTCAGATTTCAACAGGAGGCTTACGAGGGACAGCCTTGCCATGCCCGGGTTGATCAGAGGCCAGCAACGGCACCCGAGACAAGGGGACGATGTGGCTTTGCTGGAAGCCACCGAACAGCCTCTGCTCTGAGGAGCTGGCAGGATGAGGGACAAATGGCAAAGACACGCTATTCCACCGTGCCCAGGAAGGGCTGAGCCATAATGACTAATGGAGGAAGGGCAGCCAGGGAAGAGCCTGAGCTGCCTCCACCTTCCTGCGCCCCGTGGGGGAGGGCACCTCTGTCCTCCACAGGGGCCATGGCTGACTCCGCCCTCTCTCAGCCAAGGCCCACGGGCTCTACCCCCGACACCTCTCACACGCACCCCCTCCTCTCCTCTGCCATCCCTCTGGGGCTCCCCTGCTCCACCGCGGCCGCTTCCCTGCCTCGCGTCTCCAGTTCATCTTCCATTCAGCCCCCAAAGAGCAGGTCTGACCACATCCCCCCCACTCCCTAAGCTCCAGGGGCTTCCTATGGCCTCCAGGAGCAAACACAAAATGCTCTGTCGGGCTTTCCGAGCCCCTCCTGCCTTTCCAGCCTTCTTACACCTCAGTTCTTCTTCAGCCCCTACCACATGCTGTAAAACCTCCCGCTCTTCACCCCTTCTGCCCCTTCTTAATTCCTGTCTCTGGAGAAGAAGAGGCTCTTCTCGCCAAGGCCACCCCGCCCCAATCCTACCAACAAATCATCTCCATTCTCTCCCTGCCTCCTGGCTCTGTTGCCCTGAACCATGAGCACCCCACTGAGCCTTCCCTTCCTCCTTCCCCTCCTGCTTCTCCGCCCTCAGCAGCCGCGTGGCCGCCATCTCCCCATGTCAGGTTGGATGCTACTCTTGCCTCTTCCTTACCGCACTGACTCCCTAGACAATGCTCAGCTTGGTTCTCCCCCAAAATGCCCCGACATCCTGTGGCTTCCTGGGCAGGGAAACCAGCCCCACCCTTTGAGTGGGCACTCACTGAGGCTCAGGGCCACGACTTCCCTTCCTCCATCCTTCTATTCCCTAACCTGGACATTTCATCAGTCCTCATGGGTTCTGCACCAGCTTGCAACACACACCACCAGGCTTACCGTGTCTAAAACAAAATTTGGTAACTTTCCCCACAAACGTGTCCGCCACCCTCCAAACTTCCCAATTTCTATTGCGTTCCTCAGGTCCAAAACCTCTTTTTCTCCTTTGCCCCCATCTCCAAGCAACTCCCCAGTCTACCTTCCCCTGCTCCCAAATCAGACTCCTCTGCCCTCCACAGTCTGGTTCCCACCCCCCCTTCGCAGCCTGACGCCTCATTGCTGACTTCCATGAACTCTCTGCCTTGGCTAAGGTGGGCTACTCACTGTTACCCAAACTCAGCGCGCTCTCTCTCTCGCCTGTGACCACTTGTACAAACAGTGCCTGAGGGCTACCCTTCAATGACCCCGCTGCCTGGTGCCCGCTCCTCTGGTAGCCCAGGGGTCGGGACCCTTCCCGTCCCTATGCCAACGGCACATCAGCTCCTCCAAGGCAGGGGCGGCCTGATCTGTCTCTGTATCCTGCAGCCCTGGCAGAGGACCTTATTCACAGCAGGTGCTCAGCACAGATGGGTATCAGGCGCTTCAGAAAAAGAAGAGGTGATCGCCAGGAGTCTCACAGGACCTCATCAACAGCAGGTCATGCCAGGCTGACCTCACTTGTGTTTTCAGCTCAGTTACTAGACTAGTAGATCAGGAGAATCTGTAGACATCAGCCTCCTAACAGAACTGTGAATGATATAAAGAAAGGCTGGCTACATTCTGGAAAGCAAGGTCCCAGATACTGACTAAACTGTGCTTAGCCTTTGGCCCAACAATGCCACTGCCAAGGCCCAGAGAGGTCAGAGAAAGAGGGAAAAAGTTTTGACAGCAGCCCTTTTTCTGATGGAAAGAACTAGAAATGGAGGAGATGGCCATCCTCGGGAGACCAGCTGACCAAGCCGGGCCCTGAGCGCAACGGAAGGAATGACGAAGGGACACTCTGGAGAGCCCCGGGAAGAGCCGGCCAAGCTGATGCAGAAGCAGAGCGACGTCCGTGGCAACAACAACACTCTGGAAGCCACGGCGGCGCACAGGCATGATTTCAGAGGGCTCCTGCTGCCTGCTTCCAGACGGAGAGCACACAGACTCAGACGGACACGGGTCGTTCCGGACGCGGCTAGCAGGGAGACCTGCCTGCTTGACTACACGTGTTTGTAACAGGGTTTTGCTTTTCTTGTCTTTGTAATGGGGGGAGGGCGGGAGGGAAGGTGGATCTTTGAGGGAAAACTAACTTTTTGAAAAAAAAAAGCTACACGATGAAATCATTAGCTGGCTTCAGACTGCACTGAAGAGCCCTTCTCAAGTGGAGCAGAATCATGTCGTTGAACTTCAGATTAAGAAGACCTGGATTCAGATCCTGGCTCCACCAAATCCCACTGAGGTGACGCCCTCTCGGGTCTCTTCCAGTGCTGGCATCGTGGCCCGCTCAGAAGGGGCGTCTGCAAAGGGTGCCACGAGGCTCTCTCCTCAGCCCAGCCTGCTGCACACGGTCACCAGTGAGGACACACAGGGACGGCCAATAAATGGGTGCACTTGTCTCCCTGATTGTACTTAGCTGTCACAAGGCAGGGCTCTACATGGAAGTCTTCGGGCAGCAACTGCATCAGCAAAGAGAAGTGACGGACTGATGACTAACCGGCCTGAGAAGGAAAGCTCAAACCCCAGGGACAGAATCAGGAGTGAGGGACTGCACTGACGCAGTCCCTCCCAGGCCGGACAGACACAGGGCACCAGGAGAGCCTCAGGCCCTGGATGGGGCAGCCCTGGGGGGCACAAGCCTCCCAGGAGTCCGGAAGCTGGATGTGGCCGATGGAGCCCAAATGAGCAAAAGCCATGAGGCTACGAGCAGGGCGTGAAGCCTCGATCCTTCATCCTTGAGAAAGGACAGCTGCTTAGCCACCCACCCCGGCTGACCCTGCTAACCCATGTCGGGGTTACCAGCGACGCTCCAAACCAGACCCATCTCCTCGACTGTGCTGGGCTCACTGCCTGAGCTGACCCCTGACATTAATACAGGTCCACTTGGAATCCACCTTCTCTGACCATAATCACTCATTTCCTTCACGTGGGACCCTGATCACCATTCTCCCGAGCTTCCTCTGACCCTGCTGTGGTAGGACCGTCAGCTCCTAGAGGCATCAGAGAAAGGCCAGGGAAGAAGTGACGGAGTCCTGGGTGGAAATCCTCCTGCAACACTGATGAGGCGGCCTCTGCAGGCCTGAGTTTCCTCTTCTGTAAAGGGTGCGAAGAGCTGGAGAAGGACCTCATAGACGTACTACGAGGCTTCCACAAGTTGGCACGTACAAAGGGTCAGGGGTTACTGCTCCTAATCCCAAAGTGACACGCTCGGTAAATACCTCCTCAACCAAATTTGCTGAAGAAAAAATTCAGCTGAAACAAACTGGGAAAAACCAATGCCGGCCAAGTGAGAGTGCTGGTGAGGTAGCAGCTCCCCCAGGCCACACCCCCTAGCCACCCCCAAGCTGTGTCTGGTGCCAGTGATTCAGGTCAGAAAAGCTTCTTACCCTGAGAAGAGGTCTAAGGGACAGTATTTACTGATCTGTTTCCATTTGCCAGTTGCGACCTGTTAAAAAAATTGGAATCATTAATTAATTAGTAATAATTAATGTTCATTAATTAAATTACTGATGATTAATAGTGCACATTCATGAATACCCCAATCCGGGAAAATGCACTATTTGGTTCTGAAAGCTCTCCTACAGTACGGTGGAAACATGTATGTAAAACTTTCTTTCCAGTTTCTCTAGAAACAGCAAGAAATATTTTCCTCAAAAGGCCTTTCCAGACTCCAGGAAAAAGCTCCCTGGACTCTTGTTAGGGAACTGAAGGATGGTGCTCTGCCTTTCATCCTAGAACTGTCCCCAGCTTGAGCGTGACTTGCCTTTCTGTCTCTGGAAGGGACCCTGCCAGGTCACGCCCCCATTCCGCCAGGTACTGTGACTGCACGGGACTGTGACAGCTTAGCATCGGGACTCCTATACATGTCACCAGAGTGATGTCAGGGACATCATGGGGATGGTTTAGATGTCTCTCCCCTAGCCAGATATGTCTTAGAGATGGATTAAGCATTAGTTGTTTCTGGCACACATGAGCTTAAAAAAACAGAGTAAAATATTAACGCTAATGTTTTCTTCAGCAGTATGGTAGAAAGCGCCCTACTTGCCAACAGAGGCCAACAGCCCTGTGAAACATCTGTAACTTCCCAGGGTTCAATTCCCATGATCTGAGTTCAAATCCAGCCTCACACACTTAAGAGCTGTGTGACCCTGAGCAAGTCACTTAAGCCCTGTCTGCCTCAGTTTCCTCTCTGTAAAAAGGGGAACACAACAAGGTTGTTGGGAGGATGAGATTCTGTTTCTAAAGCACTTTGCAAACCACAGAATAAGCACCAGCCATTATTCTCCTCCATTCCACCTCCTACCCTTGACCTACTATCACCCACCACCATGCTCAGGAACTCTAACAGCTCTGTCTGGGCACCGGCTGGGTCAAGGGCTCATGGCCTCTACCCCTGCCCTCCCTCCCCACAAGCCCCTCCATTCCCGACTCCCCAGTTCCCTCCCAAGCCGTCCATCACCCCTGCCCTGGCTACACTCTGGGGAGGACCCAGGTCGAATCCGACAGAACAAAGAAGGCAGCCATCCCGGAAGGCCTTTGCCATCCATTCCATGCAGGTGCTGACACTGGGCCCTCTCTGAATACATCCCATCATCTCCACGGATGTCTTGTCTGCACATATTTGGTCACATGCCGTTTCCCCAAGGACGTGAGCTCGCTGAGGGCAAGGACTGTCAGGTGACTGGCGCCTAGCAAGTGCTTCACAACTGCTTGCTCATGGGCTAACTGACCTGACCACAGCAACAGGCTTCTAACCGGCCATCCTGCCTCAACTCTCTCCCCACTCTGATTCAGGCTCTCCCTGGCTACAAAAGTGCTGGTCTCCCCACGTCCCATCCCCCCTTTCTCAGTAAATACTGCCCCAGCTCTAGTGGGTGCTGTCATCAGGTGACACCCACAGGAGCTCCTGAAGAAGACAGAAAGGAAATGAGATGGATCAGTGCGAAAAGCCGCCGTCAAGGGGCAGAAGAGAACGTCTCCATAGGGCGAGTCTAGGAAAAGCAAAGAAAGCCTGGCTGGGGAAAGGGGAGCAGAGGGCTGCCGGCAACTGCCAGGTCCTAGAACCTGGCACAAGGCCTCTGCCTGGACTGTAGCTGAGCCAGCACTCAGGAAGAAAGCTGCAATCCTCTGACCTTCCTCCTCTAGCCCTGACCCTGTGACTCTCTTCTTACACACTTAGAGACTTGAGGGGGCGCAGCCCCCCTCACCGGAGCGGGTAACCAGCCACCCCACACGTAGCACCACAGAGGGGACGGGACTGCTCAGTGCATTGTAGGAAGGTGGCACTGCAGGGAGGCAAAGGACATGAGGCTGGTGATAGGACCAGCCCCAGTCTGGGGAAATCAAATGGGCACAGACAGAGATGCCCAGGCTGGAGCAGAACTTCTCTACAGGGAGGAGAGGGGGAGACATGGCAAGCAGCTGTCCATGTAGAAGCAGAATCAGAGTTGAAGGACCAAGGGGCCACAGATCTGCTCTGTACAAAGAAAAGCCGTCAGCTGCCCACAAAAAGACTACCTCCCTGCCTGGGGAGGGGACCCCACTTCCGTCCCCTCAGGAAGGGGCCACCCAGCTTGGCTAGCTCACCCTGGGGTGGCACAGAAGAGAGGAAAGAAGCCCATCTATGAAGCTGCTACCACGGGTGCCTTGAGAGCCAGGCAATCCGGGGGCTGCCTCTGAGTTCTCTCTAACGGCCTCATCTCACCTCCAGAGTGGGAGGCGACAAGTCTTTCTCCACCTGCTTCTGAGGGATGGGAGATGGCTTGTGCCAAAACAGGCTGCTCCCCGCCGTCTGCGCCCACGTGGACTCAGGAGCCCCCAGGGATGGGGCTCACCCCCCAGGCCAGAGCCCCGGGCCCAGTCCTTCATCATCCCTCGCCAGCTGCCCTGCTCACACCCGCCACGGGCGCCTCTCTGGCACACCCTGGGTGACACTCATCGGAATCGGCCAGAAGCTGACGGAATGTCAGCTTCTGCTTCCACGGTGAGCTGGGGTCATGAAAGGTGCTTTTCAACTTCCCAAAAGCAACCCAACCCACTCTCCTCCTCCGGTCAGTTCAAGCCCTGAGAACGAGAGGCAGTGTCCAGAAAGGGCCACGGTGAGGCCCACTCACTTGCTCCTCCTCCCCCCGTCCCAGAAGCCTCTGCAGTCCTCTGTGCCTTGGCACAATCAGCACATCCTCCTCAAACCAGAGCACCAGAGGCGCTCTGCAGCCACAGGCCTGGGGCCTGACCTCGCCTCCCTCACATGGGGCATGCTTTCTGAGAGCACACCGCTGCTTGTCTTCAGCTGCCATACCTCTCCATGATTTTACCATGGCACTTTATCCTATCGAATCCAAGGCTTTTTAGCAATCAGCAATAAAGCCAGGCCCACTGGGGGCCAGGCAGGGCTCGGAGTTTGGACCTGCAGGGGGCTGCGCTACATCTGGCACCAATCCGGCAGAGCAGCCCACGTCAGAAGAACCCCGCTTCCAGCCCAGATGGCTCATGACGGCACTGCTGGATTTTCTCCTCCCTCTAGGCGTCTCTGGCGCTGACGCCCTCTCCATATCCTCGGTCTAGCTGGCCAGTTTTCCTACAGGCTCCGGCTGGTGCCGTCCTGACCGTGTCCGTAAGCAGGCTCTCCTTTTCCTCTGGCCTTCGGCTCCTGGGGCCAGGCTCATCGTCATCTGAGTCGAGTTCCCGTCCTCTCCCTCAGGCAAGCGAGCCAGACGTTCACTGACTAAGGCCCCAGCTCTTGTGGCCTCCTCCTCGTGGCCTCCGTGTAGTTCCCCTTTTCATTCCGCACTGCCACATTCAAGGAGGACTGCACACACAGCCGTGTGAACCTCTCCATCCCACAGTTCAGGTCCTGCCGCCACAGCCTGTCACAGCTTTCCTATCTGTACGTCCCCCCCTGCGCCTCCTCTTGAATGCTTCAAGGATGGCTGTCATCACGGGCCTCCCACTCCTCCCCAAAGCCCCCACTGGAAACGAGAAAAGAAAGGCCTTTGCGACCACCAGGGTGGTTAAGCGACGCAGATGCCCCATCCGGTAGATCCACCCGGCTCTTTACCATGAGTCCGGCACATGCCATTGTGAGAAGGGCAGCCTGTCCCCTCTTCTGTCCTCCAGAGCCTCAGCCTGACGGTCACCACACTGAGGCGCGCTGCAGAGCTTCCAAGACCGTCTGACGCAGCGCCCCTTCCTGCTTTGCACCAGCGACCCAAAGAGCCACTAACAGTACTCTGGGGCACGTGGGTCCCTTTCCTGCTCATTGGGGCTCCCGGGGAGTACTAGCCCAGCAGGGCCCTGGCAGGTTAAATGCCTCCAAATACCATCACTGGGACCCTTCTGCTGCCTCTCTCCTGTGTCTGGCATTCAGGCCACTCAGGAGTTCAGGTCCAAGTCCTTTCCATTTCAAACCAAGGAAGGGACTTCTTTAGGATGTGGGCTGGGCATCATTAGCTTGAAGCTGCTCCTCAGCATCTTCGGCTTTATCTTGGCCTCTAGCTCAGCCTTTCAGCTGACTGATGAGCCCACCTGCTCTAGTCTGACTTCATGGACAAGAAGTATGGGCCACGAGCCAAGTGCTGGCCTCACAGGGTGGGTGAGCTGAGCTCAAATCTTGCCTCAGACCTAACTTCTCCATGGGGTTCAAAGCCCTTGTACAATGGCAGTAACCACAGCCCCTTCCTCACAGGGTCCTAGGGAGAGCAGGCCCTCAACTAGCACATTAAGCATCTGCTATACACCAAGCACGGTGTGTCTCACAAGCTCCAAAGATTCAGAAAGAGGAGGAAAAACCCCACTGGTCCCTGCGAGCTCCCAGCATTCACCAGCCTGTCAAGAATGAGGCAGGCCACATAGAGACAAGGTGCTAAGAGGAAGGAGCCAGGGAAGCTGGAAGAGGGGAAGGCAGAGCCTGCAAAGGGAGGGGCAGAGTTTTCCTCATGACCTTCAGGGCTACATCCACATCACTCCCTAGGGGCCTCCCAGAGAGTCAGGCCATCCCGTCACACACAGAACGGAATCAGAATCAGAGTCCCCCCAAGTCTGAGGCCGCAGCCCGCCCACCAGCTCCGCGACAGAGGGAGGGACATACCTTCAGGTGCTGATGCATGCAGTATCGACACACCTTATGCTTCATCTCCTGGGTCACATGCCTGGAGAAGGGAATGAATCCACATTTTGGCTGCAAATATAAGCACATGGTCAGAAAACACTCAGGGAGCCCACGGAGATGCTCGTGAGCAGGCAGCTAAAGGCTCCCAGGCCAAACTGTGAAGGCAGGGTCGGTTTCTGCACTGGGACCTCCATGTGCCAAGGCCCAGACGGGGCAGCCCTCCGACAGCCAGTGGCAGCCCCAAGGACGGGGCCCATCCCTGGTGGGTGCAGGCCACTCCTGCACCAGGCACCAGGAGAGGCGCTAAGGCGGTCACCGTCCTCAGGGGCCCAGAGACACCATGGAGAATGAGAAGGCACCATGCTCTCTTCCCTGCAGGGGTGGTGAGCTATGGGGATGGGACACGGCACGGCACATCGGGCTTTTCTGGCTGTGCTGGTTCGTTTTCCTAAACTGGGGGATGACTCTAAGGAAGGGGGAGGAACGTCCTGGGAAACGAGGTGTGCCAAGCTCCAAAGAGGGCACGGAGACAAGGGCCCAGCCGGGCTGGAGGGCGAGGCTGGGCTGCTCAGCCTGCAGTGACCCAGAGCTAGGCCTGTGAGCAGGGGGGCTCCCCATGCTTCCCCAGCTCAGAAGCCCCAGGAACCAGGACCACAGCTTAGGCCAGGATGCTGGCATCCGCTCAGGGCACAGAGGCCAGCCTAAAGCTTTGCTTCTGCAAGGGGTGAGGGCAGCGGCAACCAGCACCCTGCTGTGCACCAGCAGAAATCACCAGCAAAGCTGGTGTGGCTGGCAACCCAGGGTCCCCGGGGTCCGCCCGCCCAGGATCCTGGCCTCGCCAGGGCCTGTCCCTTTCTCTTTCTCAGCCAGTTCACCTTAATCTCTACACACAGAATCGGCCGGTGTTCTGCAAAATGGCTGGTGTGTAGTCTGGTGAGGTTTGGAAGGCACATTGCATAACCACTGAGAGTGTCCAAGTCTTTATCACAGCGAGATTCTGGAAAACAGGAGGAAGAAGCTGAAAGATCAGTTCAACTCACGGGCCAGATGCCGCGGGCACGTAAAGTTTGGGGAACGGGGCCCCATCTGGCATCCGGGCTCCGCTCTCTGCTCCCCACCCCATGGGACGAGAACTTTCAGAGCTGAACCGGACCAGCTGAGCCTAGCAGCTGGAAAGAGGAGATGGTCTAGGGCCTGGAGCCTAGGGCACACAAAGCCCCCTCCCCCCGGAGGCCCTGGAGCTGTTAGGGGGCTGACCATTGTCTTATGCCTCCAGAATGACCTAGGTCAGGGCACACCAACACCGGGCGCAAGCCCGGTCAGACAGGGAGGAGAGCCGAGGCAGTGGGGGGCCTGCACCAGGCACTCACAGGCGAGTGGGCTCTCCCGAGTCGGGCTGACCGGCCCTTTTGTTCCTCTTTCCTTTTCATCCTCGGTTTCAAAGGGTGGCTGATGAACAAAGGCACAAGAGCCCAGCCTCGCCCAGAAGGCCCAGCAGCCCTCCTTACCTGGTCTCTCTGCCTGGATCTTTAAACAGAGCTGCTTTACGAAGTCCAGAGGGAGTTGAACGACCTCCTAGGGACAGACACACCAGACTCAGTAAGATCCTGCTTCTCCCCTGACCGGGGGGTTCACTCAGGCACCAAGCTCCTAGGAAGGAGCACAGCCCCTCCGTTCCCCCCCCCCCCCCAGGATCGAGACCGAAAGCCTGGGACAAACACAAGTGACCCCCTGGCCTGGCAGGCTGCAGGAGATGCATCCACAAGAACCGGGAGGCGGCAGAAAAGTCAGAGGTCAGCACGGCCCAGGCTGGGGCTGAAGGCACACAGGAGGAAACTGATGCCCAGAGCCAGGGATCGCCTTGCCCGGGTCACTCACAGCCCACCTGGGAAGCAGAGTAATCTGAGGCCCCAGCGTCCAAGCTCCAGCGAAGCGGGCAGCGTCAGTTCTTCAGCATACAGCACTCACACGCAGCACACATGCAGTGTATGTACACAGCGCGTGCACACACACACACACAGACGCACACGCACACACGCTCCCACGCACCAGGAAAGGGGAGGCTCAGAGCTCATTGGAACTGGAGACCCCAAGAAGACTGGCTGGGGTGGGGGTCTGGCCAAACTTTCTCCCCTTTCTTCATTGGGTAATTTACTGAATGTTATGTATCCACCTTTCAGTAAGGAAAGCAGAGGAGACTTTCTCAGCTCTTTCCAGCACACCCCAAGATTTGGCCAGACTCCCCAGATGCTGCCAGTCTGCGGCCATCCCCCTTCCGTGCCTTCCTTTGTCACAGGATACTGGGGCACCCCCACCTTCCTCTGCGGCTTTCATTTCCATGGCTATCTCTCATGTGACGTTGTTGTCATCGCCACCCCCCAATCTAAGAGTGTGAAGCCCCCGCCTCTGCCAAGTAAAGGGCTGGGGAGGGGGAAGAGGCTGCTCCAAGCCTGGCTCGGGCTGTCCACTGCTGCAGTCATCCCAGGGCCTCTTCCTTCACTCTGCATCAGTTCGTGGAAATCTTCTCATGAGTCATTTCTGCAGTCATTGCTTTCTTTAACGTCACTACATTCCCGTCACATAGCAGGTGCAGGCATTCTCCAGGCAACGGGCATGAAGTCTGAATGTCTGTTGGGCCTTTCTTCTGGGCACTGGCCTTCTTGGGGCACATGGGCCTCCCGGGGGAGCTCTGAGCCAGATGTCCGGATGCCTGGACTCAGAGATTGCACTACCGGGCACACGCCTCCAAGGAGCTTCACAAAAGTGGTTAAAGCCCCAAGGAAGCCTGCTCTCTAGCAACTGCCACGGTGACCTGTCCAACCAGCGACTGTGCATGAAGGAAGCAAAGCCTGAGAAGGGCTTCAGAGTGCAAACACCTCTACATCAGTGACAGAGAAAATGACTGGAAAGGAAAGGCAGGGGGAGGGGACTATTTGCCAGGCAGAATCACTTCCAGTAGCACGGCTGTGAGGCAATGATGGCAGACCCAAGTACACACAGTGCCTCTGCCTCAGTGCCAGCCTGGACTAGGAGTCTAATCCTGGTTCTGCCCCGAATGAGCTGCACGGGGCTGGCCGTCCTCTCTGGCCCTGAATTTCCTCCACATGCAGAAGGAATGGGTTGGAGTAAATCCAGCTCTAAAAATGGCATGAGTCGATGAGCTCCCCAGAATTCCCTGAGCCATTCCTCCCAGTCAGCTCCAGGATGGTGATAAAAGACCCGAAGAACCTTCAGTCCTTAACAGCCTTGGTCTTCATGCTGTGTCTACTGGTACTTTCCGGGACATAAGCATCAGGAGGGCAGAGAAGGTCTCCCTCTTGGTCTCCGTCCCCGCTGCTCAGTTAGCACAGTGCACGGCACACAAATGCTGACTGACTGGCTACCACTTCACGTGTGGCTGGCTCCCGGTCAGGCTACTTCCCCCGTTGAGCTCATTGGGCCTATTCAGCCTATTGGAGGACTGAAAGGACTGGCCCATGTTGCTGATGCCCCAACAGTCTTAAGGCATCCTGATGGCCAGATAATGTCCCACAAACAACACCAACAGCCAGCCAATGAACCTACCAATTTCCAAAATGGGGAAGAAGCCTCAGGCACCTTTGGGATGCTATTCTTTTGCTCTGGCAAGTTGCCAGCAAGCCTCTGGCCTTGGCTCACGACTGCCTCCCCCTTCAGTGGCTGTTTACCCAGGGGAGGCGAGAGCAGACCTCGCTCACCATCCTTTGTCCCTCACCTGCTGCTAACTACAAGTCTAGGCAATACCGTAATATCTGGGTTTGGAAGGCAGGACCCGGCCCACTCCCCCAGGGCCCCTTAAAATCCACTCTCTGATCATAAAAATGGGAAAAGAACCCACATTTACAAAATTATTTAGAGCAGCTCTTTTTGTGGTGGCCAAGAATTGGAAACTGAGGGGATGACCACCAATTGGGGAATGGCTGAACAAGTTGTGGAATGAGAATGTAATGGAACACTATTGTTCCATAAGAAATGATGAACAGGCCGACTTCAGAGAAACCTGGAAAGACTTACATGAACTGATGCTGAGTGAAGTGAGAGGAACCAGGAGAACATCTTACACAGCAACAGCCACGTTGTGCGATGACTGACTTTGATAGACTTAGCCTTTCTCAGCAACACAAGGATCTAAGACAATTCCAAAAGACTCGATGGAAAATGCTATCCACCAGAGAAAGAACCAGGGAGTCTGAATGCAGATGGAAGCAGACTATTCGTTCTTTTTTGTTTTGTTTCTTCCTTTTTGTGGTTTTTCCCTTCAGTTCTAATTCTTCTTTACAGCATGACTAATGTAGAAATATGCTTAATATGGAGATATACACACACACACACACACACACACACACATATATATAGATATATAGATACATAGATATATATCCCATAATAGACTGCATGTCTTGGGGAGAGGGGAGGAGTAGGAGGGGGAGAAAATTTAGAACTCAAAACCTTATAGAAGTGAATGCTGGAAACTAAAATAAATAAATTTACTTATTAAAAAAAAATCCATGGGGGCAGCTAGGTGGCTCAGTGGATAGAGCACTGACCTTGGAGTCAGGAGGACCTGCGTTCAAATCTGGCCTCAGACACTTGACATTTACTAGCTGTATGACCCTGGGCAAGTCAGTTAACCCCACTGCCTACTAAAAAAAAAAATCCACTCTCTGTGAGCCCTTCCCCCAAGCTTTGGGGCTTTCTCCCTACCCCTGCAGAGAGGGACCACAGGGTTTCCCACCCTACCTTTTTCCCTGATACATCAGCCTCTCTGGGCTTTACAAAGATTAACTCCCAAGCACTTAGAGGCTGGGTAACTATGGGAGTGACAATAAGAGATGGGAAAAGGAAAGGGTTTCCAATGTGAGGGCCCGTTGTTTAATCCGGGTACTCAGAGCTGGGCTCTCTCTCCCAGCCAGGCTTGGCCTCCAAGGTAGCTCAACGTGCAGGCCTTAGCTCAGTCTCAGGCCTCCAGGATCCATTCTTTTCCAGTCTCAGCTGTGACTCACTAGTCCATTCTTGGGTCTGCAGGGGTGGAAGCTAAGAACAACATGTGAACAAGCATTTATTAAGCACTTACTGTGTGCCTGGCAGAGTATGTGCATACGTGCATGCGTGTGTGTGTGTGTGTGTGTGTGTGTGTGTGTGTGTGTGTGTGTGTGACATCAACCCAAACATGAAGGTGAAGTAGCGACAGAAAATGAGAAAAAGGTTCTGGAGGCAGGAGAAACCTGCACCCAGAGCCGGCCAGGCCTCAGAGAGCCCCCCAAGACCTGGCCTTCACTTTTCAGTCGTCACAGGACCACTGGGAGGATCAAATCCATGGAGGAGAGACTGGGCCTGTCAGTGACTCACCCCAGGGCGTGTGAGAAGGCCTAGGCACCTCTCCAGATCAACTCCCATCCTCCAAAAACTGGGCAGAGCCACAGTATCTATTACATACATGTCCGTATACAAAACACACACACACACACACACACACACACACACAGGTATCGATACACGTACACAAATTAAATTTCATATATCTGTACGTATGAAATAAGGGAGGGAGGGTATGGTGCACTCTAATAAAACACAGGACCCAGACAAGCTAACAGAGGTGTCTCAGCTCCCTCTTCTGTCCTGGCCTGCTTCTGGCCCCCTTCACACTGGCTGCCTGGCCCTGGGGGACAAAGATCACCCGCAGGAGCCCACCTGAAGAGCATCCTCCCATTCCAGGCATAATGAAGCCCCCAGGAACCATGTCCTGGTTCCCACCCCCTCCACTGGGCTCCCTAGCACGCCTGCTCCATGCGGATCCCACTGGCTTTCCCTTTCTCCTTCCTTCCGTCTTCTTGCACCCAGGCGCCCTGTCACCAACACCCCTGACTGACTCAATGGTCATGGCAGGGCAGTAGGAATAGCCCTTGCTGCCTTCTGCCACCATCTGCAGTAACCTCCGTCCTCAGAGAGTTCTTCATTCCATATTTACCACCCAATCGAGACTCTGGTAGCGTTTCTCTACCAAACCCAAGCCAGGGACCTTCCCTCAGCGGGGCCAGCACCTGACCCACAAGCTCCCCGCCCTTCTCGAAGGGGACTTTGACACACAAAACACCCCCACCTGCCAGTTCCTCCACTTAGTCATTTGCCATGACTTACTCCTCTTTCACTATAGGAGGGGATTAATAAATTCATGCTGAATGACTGCGCACTGAAAAATGACAGGAGACTGTGACCGGAAGTCCCTTAACTCTGACCGTCCCAGGCTGCAGATCCCAGGGTGTGCCAGCCACGGCTAAAGGCCAGCAAGATCACGCCCAGAACAAAGCACTGAGGAGCAGCCTGGCAGCAGTGTCAGATGGGGGGGTGGGGTGGCTGCACCAGGCCCCAGCACCCAGGGCCTGTCTCCACAAAGCTTGGGAGGAGCAGTCCGTTTACTCATCATTCTGCTATTTCACGGGATAATCTCATCAACTCCCAGGGATGGCAATCACCCTCCAATCTACTTCTCCCACCCTGATCTCTTGGCTGACCGCCAGCCTCACCTCTCCCATGGTATTCCATCTTAATCTGACAGGCATCTTAAGCATAACACATCCAAGACAGAACTCCTTCTTTTCCTCAAACTGTCCCTCCTGCCTCCCCCTTCTCTGCTGCTATCTAGGGCAGCCCCTGCTCCCAGGCCCTCAGGCTCAGTCCCCTTGGATGCCTCACTCTCTCTCACTCCCCAGAGCCAAGCTGCTCCTAAAACCTGTTCTCTCCACCTTTGCAACATCTCTCCAATCCGCTCCCTTCTCTCCTCCCAGAGCAGGTCCCCACCACCTCACGCCTCAATTATTGCACTGGCTGCATCGGCTTTTCCTCCGTCATCTCTGCCAGGCTGATGGCTTGAGAGCTTTTTAAATTTACACTTATTCTTAGGGATGTGATCATCCTTTCGGGCTCACAGACCATCCCTGGAAAATCTCCTCTTCATATCTTTTGATCACTGAGCTCTCAGAGAATGACTGGCACCTGTCACTACATATTTCCCTAGGAAATTCCCTCTAGGTCTTGGATGTCAAGCTTTTATCTGAAAAAAAAAACAATTAACTGCTTCTCTTCCGAGTGCGACGAAGCAACCAGCACAACCGCCTTTCCATTTTACATCCTCCAAATTGTACCTTGTCTCCTGAGATCGCGCGGACGTGAACGGGAACAGCACATCTTCTATCCTCTGCTCAATTTGTGTGTGACCCTGGACATTCCGCTCACGTATCAATTCAGGGTTTATTACGGTGCAAGACATTGGTCTAAATATACCTTCTACTAAACTGCTTTCCCATTGTCCCAACAATTTGTATTGAAAAGGGAATACTTCCCATCAGAGTTGGTGTCCTTGGGGGAGGGGGGGGGAGAGGGAGAGAGGGAGAGAGGGAGAGAGAGAGAGAGAGAGAGAGAGAGAGAGAGAGAGAGAGAGAGAGAGAGAGAGAGAGAAAGCGTGTGCGTGTGTGTGCATGTGTGTATGTGCATGTGTGCGTGTGTGTGTGTGAGTGTGTGTGCGTATGTGTGTGTGTACCAGAACCAAAGCATTTTCACAGTCGCTGCTTTATAACAGAGTTTGAGATTCGATAACACCCTCGATTCTTACTTTCATTCACTGTTTTCCTAGAAATACTTCACCTTTTTTTCTAGATGGATTTTATTTTGTCTACTTTCATAAGACACATCTGATTTAAAGCATACTTTGTAGTGGGGGGGCTTAGGAGGAGTCCTCCGACCTACCAACTGGGGCATTTCTGCAGCTATTCTGAATGGGATTTCTTCTTCAATCTCCTCCTGTTGAGTTTCATTAGGAATTACAATGCGCTTCATTTTTGTGCCTTTGCTTTGGTGGGCCCCGCCAAACTTACGCTCTGCCCTAACGTGCCCCAACGGAGCAACTGTTCTCTAGCTGGCACCAGAGCTGCTCGGACCTGACTCCTCCATTAGATGGATCCTTTCCAGGCAGAGATGTGCTATCTCCGCTGGCCGGGGACAGGCTTGAGGGTTTGCAGAATGCGAGTGCACGTGTACTTCCTGTGCTCTGTCCCTGAGGCCTACACTGATGAGAGAGCCCCATCTGGGGCCAATCCATATGTCAAACAGGCCCTCATTTTGTCCTCTTCTCTGCATGCAGAGTGAACAGTGCTGAGACAAACGATGTGGTTCTGAAGCAGGAATAGCAGTGACTCAGGGCGACCACCCATGACACTCAAGGGAAATAAGGGGCTTCTCAGGAACCCCCCCAGCTCCCCAAGCATCTGTGTCTTCAGGGAGGCAGGGAGAAAAGCGTCCTTGGGTTGCCCTGCCCCAGGGCCTCTGGGTTCTGTTCGGGGTCCTCTATTTCTCTTCCAACACTGAAGCCAAGTTTCTCTTCGTGTCGAGGCCAGGAGGTTCGACCACTGAAGCCAATGCTAAGTTAAGGCCCCCACTGCAGGAGGGAGGCCACCAGGAGTTGCTTGGAGGGACTGTTGTCCTATGCTAGCAGGATCAGACTCATGTCAGAAGGAGTGACGTGCTGGCCTCAGTAAAGCAAGGATGGGAGTGCAGGCCTGCGACAGACAGCACTCTTTGTTCCTAGCTAACATGACTCTAGAAATCCCCAGACACAAAACTAGGAGAATTCCAAAGGAACAAAACACAACAGAGTCTCAAGAGGAACGGAAACATTGAGAGCACCCCCAGCCCTCCCTTCTGGAAGAGAAAGATCTGCCTCCAACAGTCATCAATCAACTCTGCTGAAGCAGCTACTATGTGCCAGGCACTGTGCTAAGTGAGCCATAATTAACTGAGTGAAGGCACTGGAATGAAGAGGGGCTGGGAGGGCTCCTGGAGAAGGTGGGATTTTAGTTGGGACTAAAGGTCAGGGGTCAGAGACAAGGAGGGCGAGCGTTCCAGGCCCAGGAACGGCCAGAGAAAGCCTGGAGTTGAGAGTTGGGCAGGGGAGGCATCGCTAGGTCAAGGAGTGCGTGTCGGGGTGAAAGGTATGAGAAGGCGGGAAAGGATGCTCTGAATCCACCAAAACGTTCCAGTTTTGATTCTGGAAGTGATAAGGAGCCACCTCAATTTACTGGGGAGGGGAGGGCACAGTCACACCTGGCCAAATGGAGAGGGAACCAAAGTGGGGAGCGCCCTGTGACAGGCAGACCCACCAACAGGTTACCACAGTGGATCAGGCACGCGGAGATGCGGGCAGGTAGGAGGAGAGAAGGGGACGTGCTTGAGAGACGCTGCGGAGGTGAGATCCACAGGCTTTGGCCACAGGTTGGAGGTGAGGGGGAGAGACGGCAGCGTCAATGAGGACGCCTGGGTTGCAAGCCTGAGGGCCTGGGAGGAAGGTGCTGCCCTCTATGGTAACAGGGAAGGAAGGAGGGAGGAGAGTTTGGGGCTCTGGACATGCTATGGGGAAGACGTCCAGTGGACGTGCTGGTGGAGATGTCCTAAAGGCAGATGGAGATGCAAGACTGGAGGTCAGCAGAGAGGGCAGGGCCGGATACGTGGACGTGGGCTGGCTAGTCCGTCACCACGGGTTAACTGACTGCATCATTATGAATTCTGAAACAGAGTATGGAGCAGGAAGGAGGCGGACATTCTCCAAAGCCAAGCTCCTCTGAATTAAATCAACACTCCCCAAAGCAAGGGTCAGAGACAGGAAGTAATAGATCAAAATACCCAGATCAGAAGAAAGAATGACAAAGGCAAAGACCTTCAGACCACAAGAGGCCTCATCCCTTTACAGCCTGAATACTTTCTTTGAGAAGAGTCCACTGGCCTAGAAAGAGTGGGCACCAAATACCTATGAAAGGGTAGGTGAAACCACTCCATCTTGAACCATTTAAATAACAGACAATGAAGAATGATGTACACACTACCTAGAAGAATCTGAGACAGAATTTAACCAATGTAACTCAGCTGCCCCAGCAAGAAGCCCAAGACCCTTAAAAATCTTATTCTGTAAAGACCTGTGTCTCTCACCACCTGCTACTCAGTAAAGTCCGCGGCTTCCTCTTGCCTCTGGTAGGCGTTCCAGCCCCCTCCCCCACCCTTCCAGTCTTCTCACACCTTACCCCCCAACACATCCTCCTTGATCCAGGGACACCGGCCTCCGGGCTGCTCCTCAAACAATACATTCCATCCCCTGGCTCTGGGCCTTCTCTGGGCTGCCCCCCATGCCTGAACACTCTCCCTCTATACCTCCTTTTGCCAAAAGTCTTGCCCAGCTGCCCCGCATCGTAACACAAATATGCGGCAGGAGGAGACGGTGGGGCCCTGCCATGGGCGAGCACTGCCTGCCCTCTTCCAGCAGGCACCCCATCTGGCCGTAGCTGTGCTGGAAGCCTGCTCCAGAAGCTGACCAAAGCCAGCAAGACACAATCTAGCACAATCTAGGGACCTGTGAAGACCCTCCCCTGGAGAGAGGGCTGCCCAGGAAGGGACAATGGAGGTAACGCACACAAGACCCAGGCACACACGTGGCCCACCACACTGTCTATTCAGAGCCAGCCACTCTCTACTGTGGATCGAAAAGGAACAAAAGGCACTTACCCCATGATGCACATAATTCTCTCCAAAAAACTCTGTCATAACATTTTTGCCAAAGTCCACTATGCTCTGCAGATGGCGGAATATTTCCTCAGAAGTCTGTAAAAGACAAGGATGACAATGATGAGACATCAGATTAATTCCCTCCCTGGGAACAAACTGTCTTTATCTACAATCGGCCACAACCAACCATGTAAAGCAGAGCCAGTCCTGGGGCACAGCAGCCTGCATGCAAACACAGCAGAGGAGAGGCCGGCCTGGCTGGGCTGCAGAGCTGCAAGGAGCAGGGGAGGAGGGGGGGAGAGAAGAGAGAAGGGGAGGGGAAGAGAGAGGAGGGGAGGGGAGGAGGAGAAGGGGAGAAGAAGGGAGGGGGGGAGAGGAAGGGGAGGGGAGGAGAGGAGGGGAAGGGAGAGGAGGGGAGGGGAGGAGAGGAAAGGAGGGGAAGAGAAGGGAGGGGAGAGGAGGAGGGGAAGAGAAGGGAGGGGAGGGGAGGAGAGGAGGGAAAGAGAGAGGAGGCGAGAAGAGGGGAGGGGAGGAGGAGAATGGGAGAGGAAGGGAAGGGGAGGAGAGGTTCACACTGGGCAATCTCCAAGGCCTTTCTCACAGACTCCTGCCTGCCTTTGGCCATTCAGCTGCTGTTTCAACACCAAGAAGCTCAGGTCTTCTCCACCCATTCCCAGCCTGTCTGCCGGTTACAAGTTCTAAGGCAAGTAGGCCCACCCCGAGAAGCAGTCACACTGGTAGCAAAAAATTCAATCTGAGATGAAGCCAGCAGCAAACTGGCTGCCGGAAAAAGAGACCGGGACAAGGGCTCTAAGCTTAGGGGATGCCAGGGCTCCGCCGTCCTGGCTCGCCTGCTCTGCCCGCTCATGCTGCCTGGCCCCATCTCCCCGGCTTACTCAAGGTACTCTCTTCAAAGTCACTAAGGACCTCTCGCTTCCTAAAACCAATTGGCTTGATCAAACTGTCAAGATCCTTGATCTTTGGGGAGCACTAAGCATGGCTGATCCACCATTCCTCGCTCGCTGATTCCAGAGATCACATCCTATCTGGGCTCCCCTTTGACCTACGGGCCGGACCTTTCCTCCTCACACTCTTCCTCCTGTCCCAAGTCTGGGCTCCTCCACATTGCCACCTCGGACCTGCTCCTTTCCCCATAAGCTCTCTCTTGGCAGCCTCCTCCACTCCCGGCCTTCCCAGTCTGCCTTCTAGTCTATGGACTATGGACTCTCGGCCCCAGACACCAGTCCCAGGGGCCCCTCTGCATAGTCCAGTAAACAAACGAAGCCTTTCTAACATTGATCTCGTGATCCTTCCCCCCAAGCCCACCCTCCCTCCACTGAAGGCCACTCCACCTTCCACATCACCCTCGCCCATACCCTGGAGTCACCTTGGACACCTCCCACCCTCCCCCAGACAGCTACCGAGTCTCTGTCAATTCTGCTCCCACAATCCCTCCCCCACGGCCTCTCCCTTCTCCAGTCCCACTGAGATTGCCCTACGACTAACCCCTTATTCCTTTTGGCCTGGATCATAATAATGGCCCCTCCTGACCCTGTGAGCAAACATGCTGGCTGGCTCCCTGTGCCCCACAGGCCACTGCATGAACTCTTCAGTATGTCATCATGGGGCCCTCCACGGACACTGCTCGTTCTGTCTGCTCTCGGTTCTGCATACGGTCACCAGGAGCCCCTCATTTCTAAAACGGATTTGGTTGAACCTCTCACAGTTACCACCCCCTCCATGAAGCCTGCTCTGATTCCAACTGAAAATGACCTGACCCATTCAAAGGTCACCGTACCGTTGCTGAGCCTCCTTCACCTGAAAGCAATTTAGGACAAACTGCACTTCCTTGCCCACACGTCTTCTCTCTCTTCTTCCCCTCCCCCATTAAATCACTAGCCATTTGAGGGCAGACACCGACTGAATTCTTCTCTCACTACTCTTGAGGCTTCTGGTCACCCTGCCAATCTCCTGACCTGTGTATTCATTCCCCTCCACCCTGCTTCAACATTTCCTCCCCGAAGCGAGGGCTCCAAATTCTCCTCTGTCCAAGGCTCTGAACCACGTCAGTCTTCAGGCCGTCCACGTGTCCCAGGCTGGGCCGATGCACTTGCTCCTCCCTCTGTGTCCCCGGGACTCCCCGAGGGTCGATTCTCCCAGGCTTGGGTCTCCTTTATCCTTTCCTCTATCTCTGTGACATCTCTCATACTTGTAACTCCTCTAAATCCTCAAGCACCAAACGGGTCATGTCCACGAGGTGCTTGGCTAACCTGAACAGACCACAACCCACATGAACGACAGGATGATGGCGATGTTTCCCACTGCCGCTAGGGCCCTGGCACACAGCCACCGGGGGCACCATCTGCAGGCCACTCCCACGTCTGTTTGGCCTCCGTGGCCTTCTTCAATCTTGCCCAGTTCTCACCCTGCAGGTTCATTCTGCACTGTCCACGCAGGGGACCACTTCAGTCCTCCCTGGCCCCAAGCCTTCCCTCATTCTTCAACCTGTTCCTGGAGGTTCGCAACACTGGTCACTCTATTCCTGCCCCCTTCCCTGGAGCCTTAGCCCACACCAGCTCAGCCTTCTCTCCTACTCCCTCCCTGCTCCAGTTCTCTGCAGAGCAGGCTAGCCTCCTCCCAGCCAGCCTCCAGCCTTCCCCAGGCCTCACTGAGCTAAACGGGAATGGCAGTCTGGAAAGAGACATTTCGTGTAGGCGCCAGGCTCCATCACCTAGAAAACAGCTTGTTTCTTCCTAGGCAGAATGCATTGGCTTCTTTTCTGTCCCTCATCCCTCATAACTGCTCCCTAGAACCAATCCTTCTCACAGTGAAAGCTCCAGAACGCCCCCACCTCGGGGAGCTGCTCTCCACACCAACAGTGCCTGGTGCAGCTGCCCTCACCCATCTCTCTCCAGGCAATCCTCCACAGAAACTGCCTGAGCGAGCTTCCCTGAGCTTTATATTTAAAAATAGCTTTACAATGCTATTGACTCGTCCTTTCTCTACACAAAAAGCCACCAGTGGCTCCTCGGTGCCTACCAGATAAAATGCAAGACATGGTGCCAGGATTCGAGGTCCTCCCATGCCACTCCCCACTTCAGGTAATGCATCCTCGCCAACCTGTACGACTGCCAACCCTATCCTGGCCATGCCCTCTGCCATCCCACTCTATCTTCTAAAGTCCTACCCTTCTGCCAGGGCCCCAGTGGGCTGCCACTGGCCTGCTGCCCTGAGCCAAGTCCCAGCAGCACTCCGACTGTCCTCTGCCCCACCACATCCCCCCTCCCAGCATGCTCTTCTTCGTGGGCATGCCACACTGCCCCACTTGATGATCATTTTGAGTACAGGGACATCTCCACAACCCTCAGGCCCAGGTGCTGAAGTCAGCTCACCAAGCTCTGGAATGCACTGGCCTCTTCCCTAATGCAAACAGAATCAAATGGTGCAGTGAGGGTGTCTGCCCTGGGAGAAGCCGCCCCAGCTCTGGAATCAGAAGCCTTCGGTTTAAATCTCCCTGAGCCCCGAAGCAAGTAGCTTGCTTCCCACGTCTGGGCCCAGGCATCAGACTCACTGGTCCCTGAGGGGGAGCAGACCATCCCAAAGGGATCCACACTCCTTTTGGGCTGGGCTTTAGATCCAAGGTCTGCAGGAGCAGAGGCTGGGCCGCTCTTGGCTCCGAGCAAGCCCTGAGCCCCTACAGACCGCGCCTAGTCGAGACCATCCACAAAACCTCACATCTGGATGGAATCCCAGCTGCAGCCTAACAGCAAACAAGCCACTTTAATGGATGACAGCATCAGACTTTATAACAGCCTCAGAAAACGTCCGTGCCTAGGTCTTTAAGAGAAGATCTAATCCACAGCAGAGCCACTGTTCAAGCCGGCTCACACACAGGAAGTGTGTGGCCCAGGCCTCCAGGTGCAGGGCTTGCTCTGGTCCAGGGGCTGCTTCCTGGGCCAGTCTCGTACTGTTAAGTCTACACAGCAGCGCCCCAATCCAGGCAGTGAACAGCAGGTGCACCGAGCCTTCAGGTGGGGCCAAAACAGATGACCCACATCCCCTCACAGCAACCACCCTGGGAACAGATACCACCTGACCATAGTGGGAGCCAAAGGCCTACAAGGAGGGCAAAACAGAATCACCTTCTGGATTTCCACACCCTAATAAACACATTCAAATACAATGTGTACACCCACACACACACACACACACACACCCCTCTTACCTTATTCCTATTGGGTGGAAACTTCAAGAAACGTAGTACCACACAACGCTATTAAAAAGAGAAACATAATTAGTATTTTCTAAAAAACAGTTAAAAATCATGAACCAAGCTGGTCACAACTAGTCAGAGCACACGCGTTGGCCAGGTGAACTGGGGTAGAGACAAACAGCCCTCACACAACCACCCCACCCCGCCAAAACAAGATTCTGGGTTATCAAAGACTCGAGAACGGCGACAGGAGGAGGGAAAAAGACAGCGCGGTAAAGATGAACCTGGAGAAGACAGCTATGCTTGAATTTTAGAGAATGTTTAGAAGCATTCGCGCAGATCTAGTTTCCTAAGGTAACCTGGTCATTCTTTTCCAGGACTTGTGTGTGCAGATAGGTTTTCCCTTTCAAAGGGACCTCAGTGAGGAAGGAGCCTGTAGATTCTTCCCAGAAAAATGAAACCTCCAAATCTATCAACGTTAATAGTAAAACAGAACAGAGAGAGAGAGAAAGAGAGAGAAATCAAATTTCCAAGCAACTTCTCAGGAAGCAAGCTCCCTAAAGGCAGGGATTGCTTTGTTGGGGTCCGCATCCAGACCCAGCCTCCTCCCCCAACAACATAAGCTTAACAAAGATAGGCAAATCAAACACTCATCCTCCCTCCCCCTACACCCGGGGCATCACTCACTCACTCACTCACAGGGTGTGTGTCCCTCTTCTCTTCCTTCCCTGTCTGTCCATCCATCCATCCCTGAATCCCTCCTGCTTCTGTCAAGGCTCCCACATGGCAGGCAGGCAGCAGCCCCTGCTCCCCAAGGCCTTCAGAGGCAGGGCGGGAACTTGGACTTGGTCGAGCTCACCTGCTTCCAATGACAACCGTGCCCTCCCTAGAACCCATAGCGATGCTGGACCCCTCTCTGAGGACAGGGATCGCTGGGCCTTTAGCTTTCATCCTCAGGGCCCAGCACAACACCCAGTCTACAGCAGGCTCCTAATAAATGATGCCTGGATGAAGAAGGCTCACTTGGAGATCAACCACTGGAATAGTGCCCCAGGCCTTAGGAGGAGACCAACAGCTCGTTATGCCAGGACTTTAATGAAGTGCCCAGAGTGCCCTGACCAATGGCAGCACGGCCATGGAGACCATCAGGATGGAAATGAGAGGCTTACATATCACTCAAAGACCAATTCCGCTTTCCAAATATCTGAGCTGATGATTTTCAGGAATGCCATCACCAGAAGAAAAATCAGACTTTCCACAGACTTTACTTCATCATATACTTCACTTCACGATATTAAAAAAAATCTTCAACCCCAAGTATTTGAAAATGGGATGCCAGTGCACACGTGCCCCCTGGAGGTGAAGCCCAGAGGAAAGCCGTGTGTGCACTAACCCAGGAAGAACACAAAGAACTGGGAACAAAGCATTGGCACAGCGGGCCTGAGTTCAAATCCAGCCTCAGACGCTTACTAGCTGGGTGGCCCTGGGCAAATTATTTCACTGGTTTGCCTCAGTTTCCCCATCTGCAAAATGGGAATCATCACAGCATCGACCTTCTAGGACGGCTGTGAGGACCAAATGAGACAGTATTTATAAAGAGCTTAGCAAGCGTCTGGCACACAGTAGATGCTTTATAAAAGTTAGATATCATTGTTACTGGTGGTGGAGGTCTCATGTATACAAAACCACCCGATAATGACCAAGCCAGGCCCCAAAGGAGACAAGAGAAGGGGCCTACTTCTCAATGTGTGGGGTTTTTTTTTGGGGGGGGGTTCTGCTGCATACAACAAACAAACTTTTCCAAGGGGTATTTAGTCTTCTTGGACTGCCATTTCCTTCTTTTTTCTTCTTTCCCATAAGCACTACTCTCTGCTTCAGGGGTGTTGGGGTAGAAACAAAAATATCAATAAAAATGTGTAAAAGAAACAAGAGACCCGGACTGAAGTGTGTCATGTCAGAGACAGGAAAGGAACCTGACAGCTGCTGTCACAGGAAAGTCCCTGCGCTGGCGCAACGTCCTGAGGCCTCCCGGTGCCCCCTCCTCAGCCTCCGGCGTCCCAGGGCAGCTCCAGGCTCAGCCTAGACATTAAGTCACGCAAATGAACACGATGATTGGCTGATAATAACCACAAGGAACTGCCAAACATTCACAAATACTAAAAGCCTAAAACCCAATCTATTTCTCCCATGACTCTGTGGTCTAGGTGCCAATGTGGCCGAAGCAGCAGATGGAGCCCTGACCCTTGCGCCTTTGAGGGGGAGGGGAGGAGTGAGGCCTGGGCCTCCGTGTCCCCTAAGAGGAGGACCTCCCCAGGTCCTCAATGACATTGTCTAAGAGCTTCAAGCTGCCACTCGGGGGACTGGCAGGCCTGCTGGGCCCACAACCAGGGCAATGTTCCTTCGAGGGGCGCCGGGGGGGGCCTGCCCCCACCGCAGGTGCTCAATAAACACGGGATAACTTTTGAAATGTAACTCCCCCAACTCCAAGAGTGGATATTGCTGCCTATTAAAAAGAGCCTTGAATTTAACTGAGGCAACTAGGCAGCACAACAGACAGAGCACTGGCCTTGGCACCAGCAAGACCAGAGTTCAAACACTGCCTCAGATACTTTACTAGCCGTGTGACCCTGGACCAGTCATTTAAGTCCCAGAGACCTACTTCCCTTGTTTGTAAGATGGGCATCACAGGTTAGAGGAAGCGGTGAGATAATATAGGCCACATGTTTGGCCAATCTTAATGTGCTAGAGGAATGTGAACTAGGATGACTTTTGTGTCTGTACTAGAATGTAAGCTCCATGCAGCCAGGGCCTTCTTCCCACTCTTAGAATCCTTGGTGCTCAGCACATACAGTGAACGGCACACAGTAAGCACTTCATAAATGCTTGTTGACTTTACAGACTTTAATACTAGGGAGCAAAATCGAACCAAACGACACAGACTAGTATTAAAGTCAAAACAACAACTAACGTCCACTACAGATGAGAAACATTCCTCAACCCCAAAGCACTCCATGTACGCAGCTTGCTCCCCGTCCAGCAGCCCCACTTTATAAAGGACAAACAAAGCCCAGCCCTGGCTCTGCTCAAGGTCTTGCCCCACCCTGCCAGGCCTCACCCCAGGCTCCAGATTCTGGCTTGGAATTTCCTCCTCCTTTGGTTCAATCAGCCCCCCAGTATTTATTAGGCACCCACCAGCCACTGATGATGTTTGGGACTGGGACAAAAAGAAACCCCCCCCAAGTCCCCACTGGCCCTTACGCAGAGCTCATGTGTCCACAAATGAGCAAACACAAAACGTCAACAAGCTCACGGGTGGCTGGGATTCAGGAGGCAGAGGTAAGAGAACAGAAGTGAAGGAATATGGCGTCACGGTCAACCAGCAGGGAAAGGGAGGCAGGAGCCAGGCATTCATGGGCCACAGAAACTCCATGACCAAGGGAAGGGTGTGGTCCCTTGTCTTAGGAATATCCATTTGGCAGCTGCGCAGAGGATGGATAGAAAGAACAGGCAGGGAAGGCCAAGAGACCCAGAAGGACTGACTGAAGTAGGGCAGGAGCAGGGGTGGACAGAAGAAGCATTCGGATGAGGATGCAAGCCCAGCAGCTCCCCAGGATGTCTGTGAGGGGCAGGGCACGCATCCAGGCACAGGAAGGAACTACGGAAATGAAGACTGGAGCAAAAACTGCGAAGATTGGCATGAAAAATCACAGTGCGACGAGCAGAAACCCAAGCCTGCTAGGCGAGGCACCCACGCGGACCTCGGAGGACACCTCGCGCCTCCCAGGGCATCTGGAGCCACAGCCAACTCCGAGTGCTCATATTTAACGGGGAGGAAGTGAGAGAGACACAAAACAGTAAGAAAAGCCCGCCAGCAAACCTTCCTTAGGATACAGAAGAAAAAGCTCAGACGGGGGTACACACAGTGATCATTGCAGCTTGGCTAAATTCCACACAGACTTCTTTAAAGCCAACAGCCTAACCAATGCGGTTCCACACAGGATCCTTGTCTGTTCCTTGCACACCAAAATGTTTGTGTTTGCCCACAGCTCTTCCGCTCATACTGAAAAAGAAAATGTAAAAGGAGAAAGAACATGAGGCGAGTGGATCAAGAAAAACCATTCTTTCTGCAGACTCGAACTGAGGAGGGAGAGAAGGAGGCCGTGGCAGGGCTTGAATGGCAGGCAGGGTTAGGCCTCTCTCCTCTCTGTGAAGGCAGGTAGAGGGAAGAGCCCCTCGGGACACTCCTGTAAGCCAATGAGAGAAGGAGAGGATCACCTGGGGGTGGTGAGGGGCCAGTTAAAATGACTTCCCAGGAATGTGTCCTATACCCCTGTGGCCCAGCTACAGGACTTCCTCCAGTCCCCATCCTCCTCCTCCACCCCCAACCCCACCCCGGGCAGCAGCAGAGCAGGCGTGTGGGAGGAGAATGGGGAAAAGAATTCATGAGTAAGGGTTAGCAAGGCCTACACAGCAACCAAACAGCAATCATTTACTAAGCACCTATTGTGTGCCGAGCCCTGTGCTAAGTGCACAGATACAAGTAAGTCCTTCCTGAAAGGGGCTAACACTCCAATGTACATACACATACAGGGCGTCCACAGAAAGAGAATAAATTCAAAGGAATTAGCCACGAGGTCGGCTGGAAAGGCGAGCGCCAGCAGTTGAGGGGCAGAGGGCAGTGCTAAACCTGTATCCTAAAGGAACTGGGGGACTCCCTAAGTCTGAGGTGAGGAAGAAGGGCATCCCAGACATGCAAAGACTCAGACACAGGGAGGGATGGATGGAGTGGGGCTGGATGCAGGAAGAGGAGTAGCATACCACAGCATCTTAAAACCCAAACAGGAGTGGTTTCGATTTTATCCTTCAGCCTGGAAGGAGGCAGAAGTGTGCGGAGCAGGGAAGTGGCTGCTCCATCTGCATTCTGGCAGCCCGCCATGCCAGGCCCAGACTACTGGCCTGAGAAGACGACTTAAGGCAGGGAGGCTGACTGGGAGGCCACCTCTAGGGTTAATCCTGGGACAAAGAGAATGAGGCTGAGGTAGGAGAGGTGGCCTGGCCAGGAACGGACAATGACAGGACATGGGGAGACAGGGAGGGCTAGCTAGCAGGCTATAATCCCACGGGCAACAGGGTTTAAAGTCAGCAGCCTAACTCGACAGTCAAGACTCCTGAAGGTACCAGGCAAGCCATCAACGTCTCAATGCAATCCTGCCACCACCACCAGGCTCAAGGCAGAGGAGCGGCAGACACCAGAGATCACTCACGACCCAAGAAAGGCCCTGCTTCACCCAAGCAACAGGTGCTATCTTTTGCCTCGTGGTGAATGTCTGTGGAGTATTTGCTGTGCAGATAAACTGGCCTTCAGAAGAGGCATCTCACCTCAATCCCGTGTGCTGTAACATAAACGCACCCTCATCCAGAGGATGAGGATGGCAGCCTAAGGAAAAACTGACCCCAAATCCCACCTAGTAAACTAGCAAAGACAGCAAAGGGCCATGGGAAGACAGGCCCACAAGTACCCAGTCACGGTGTGGAAGCACTCCTGGGGTTAGCTTTAGGACCTGAGCTCAGATAGATCAAGGGTGCTCTGGTGGGGCTGAGCTTGCACACCACGGCCCTGAACCCTCAGACGATCAAGGGAGATCCCACCCCAGGGCCCAGGAAGCCAAAGGCAGAAAGAAAAATGCCTCGCAAAACTGTATGAAATAGCAGAGACCCAGAATAAGGGGCTCCCCATCAACTGGGTAACGGCCACCGGAGGTCTCCAGGGGAACTCCGGAACTCCACCCAGAGCCAGAAGGGACCCCAAGGGCCAGCTGGCACACCGCTCTCATTTCCCCCCACGCCTGCCCACTGTCAGAAAGAATATTTAAGAGGAATTCAGACATCCAAGAGCCTGGGAAAGAAAAGCAGACACAGGGTGAGGGGCCTCATCCAGCCCTATGGATGCCGTGAAGACAGAAGACACCAGTCAAACAGGGTAGAAAGAGACTGCGGTGGGGGACAGTCGGGATCTGAATGTGAGGCGGACGCTTGCTCCCTGATCTCCCTGAGAGCAGTCAAAGAGAACCGGTCAGGGACGTGGCATGGCAGGAATCTTGGAAGGAAATGGCCGCTTTATCTTGGCATTCAGACAAAAACATTTAGAACCGTCCTTTTTGTAGCATCAAGAACTGGCAATCAGGCAAGTGCCCATCCAGGGGGGTAACAGCTAAACAAACTGGTCTAGAAATGTAAAGGAGTGTAACTGGGCAACAAGAAATAACACACACGGGGAATTCAAAGAAACCAGGGGAGACTTAGATGAACTAAGGCAGAGTGAGGCAAACACAGCACGAAAACAACTTCTGTAACACTGATAAAATGGGAAGAAAATCTTGGGAACTCTGATCAAAGCAATCAATGACTGCTCTCCCTTCAGAAGCGAGAGGGTGAGCACCAAGCCAATGTGCTTTGCTTGACTGACCTGCTGGTATTCTGTGAGGGCTCTATGATGGGGCAAGGGAGGGGGAAGGGGAATTGGGAATAAGGAAAAAAGGGGGAGTGAATAAAACATTTTAAAAAACTAGTCAATGGATTGTATTGTAGAATAATATTCTGACCAATTATAGCACTGTTGTGTTGTTTCTGCAGTGCTTAATATTTCTAAGAATGGCTCACGTGTCCACAGGTTATAATTACTTCTGATACAAAACTGTGGTTACCAATGGGGAAATTTCTTGAGTCTTTAGCCCGGGAAAGGGCTGCTTCATTAGATGAGGCGAAATTCTGATTGAAAAAAACAAAGAAACTCAGTCTACAAGTGGAAAAACTGCACATTTCACTAAGTTCCCAGGAGATACTGGTGTGATATCAACATCTATGTAAAATAGAAAGAAAATGGGTGATTCTCAGCAATTCAAACAATGCTAAGAAAGGCTTAAAGAAACCCGGGGGGTTACATAGGGAACTCCTGTCACCCTCCAATTTTATTCAAAAGAAGAAAGGGACAAATGCCAAAGAGTCAAAATAATCCTGAAGAACAGCAGCAGGACCGTATCTGGAAGGCCCAGAAGGACAGAAACTTGTGGGAAATGCTCAAGACCCCAACAGAACCGAGACAAGGCCAAGCCCTAAGGAAGACTGTGGAACCACCCCAAGCCTGGGGCTTGGAGAAAGGTCCCACTGGAGAGAGGATGACCAAAATCCCCTAGAGGCAAGCATTCAACCCAAGTGGGGGGGGGGGAGGTGGGAGAAGGAAAAAGCACACTGTTCACTTGGCACACATTTAAGATCTGGGTTCACATCTTAAGGAGGTCGGAGATAAGCAGTCAGAACAATGGATTTGCTATCCTACCAGACCAGAGGGATTACGGACCTCAGAATGTTCAGCCTGAAGGACAGACTTAAGGGAGACCTGCTCGGTTTGCACTTGTAGCAGGTGGGCCTGCCTCCAGTCTCTTTCGCTCCCCTACTCCCAAATCCCAGGGGCTCCCTATTGCCCCGCAGGGTCAGCGCCTGGCCCCACCTCCAGTCTTCTTCCACCTAACTTGGCCCCAGATATTCTCAGAATTGTGGCCTCCTTTATCTTCCTCCATTTCTTGGCTCTGGGCACCTTCTATGGCCCCCTTCCATGCTGGAAAGTTCTTCCCACCCCTGGCTGCCCTGCAGGCCCAGCTCAGAGCCCACGGTCAACAGGAGGCCTCTCCTCCAACTGATCCCACGATGGTGGCATGTTGTCTCCCCGTCCTCCCGTGAGCTCCCCAGAGCACAGCACAGTGCTTGGTACACAGCAGGCCTGCTTTACGCTTGCTGACTGGCTGACCTCACCAGGCAGAACCAGGCGCCACGGAAGTGCTGGGGGTACAAAAAAAGGCAAAGCCAGTCCCTGCCTTGAGCTCCCATGCTAATGGGCAAGGCCTTCAGCTGAAGGCAGGCTGAGCTCCGTCTTCAGAGAAGCCAAGAAATCCAAGAGCAAAATGCCCACGTCGAAGCTCCCGTCAGTGATTGTGCTAGTGCATGGAATGCGCAGCACTGCAGAGCAAGGAGTGAAAAGAACCTCAGAGGCCAGCTGTTACAGGTGGGGAAACTGAGGCTTGGAGAGATCCTGTGATCTGTCCAAGTCCACCCCTACAATGGCCATCAGATGTGGAATTTGAACCCAACTCTCAGACAACAGTAAGGTGCCTGGGCCACAAGGGAGCTCCTCGCCCAGGGTCACAGGGCCAGGAGGAGCCCAAGATGGAACTCAGACCCAAGTCTTGTTGACTCTTGGACCAGCTCTGCACCAGGAGCGTTCCCCCGCGGTCGTTTCCCCACACGCCCCCACACCCCAGCACAGAGTCACACACCCGCACCCTCTCTTACTGGGGATGTCACCGAGGGAGCTCTGGTTCAGGAACAGGTTGGTCTAAGTCAGCCATACTCAAAGTGTGGTCCGGGGACCCTGGGCATGCCCAAAGCCCTTTCAGGGGGGTTGTAGGGAATCAAAATCATTTTATAATAATACTTAGATGTTTTAATTTCTAATTATCAATAAATATCGATAGGTATTACCCACATCAACAAAAGCTCTTGTAGGGGTCTCAATAATTTTCAAGGGTCTAAAGGGGTCCTAAGACCACAAAATTAGAGAACCAAGTTATGTCTCAACTCTGAGACTGTGTGTATCCATACACGTAATTTGGATTAATTCTACCTCAAGGTCCCTCAAAAAAACTCACAAGCAATCTCAGAGTCATCCTTAATAAACTAGGGTAAAGACTGGTACTTTAAGACTAGAGATGTCAAATTGTTACAATTTTCAAAAAGGGGCATACTAGCAGGGGAAATCCATATGTCTAACAGGAGTAATTCTAGACGAGGTCATCAATTGGGTGATTTGCTGGACCCCGAAAGGCCCTTCCCTGCTCCAGAGAACACAGGAAGCATGACACAAGCCTCTAGCTTCGATGGTTCCATCGCCATCCTACCAGAGCTGACAGCTCCATCCCACAGCTGACCTGCCCAGGCACACACAGCTCCAAAGGTCTTCTAACTTTCAGATACAGATCCTCATCAATCAATCACTTACTATGAGCTACTGCCCGTGCTGGGCCCCAGGAAGCAGAAACAATGAAAGGACTCATCCCAGCTCACAACAAGCTCGCATTCTAACAGAGGAGACAGCAGCACGAATGCCAGAAGAGACAAAAATCCAAGGAGATAAAAGGAAGCTGAACTTCAGTGAAGCATCTGAAAAAGTCTCTCACAACATCATGAGCAGATAAAATAGCAAAGTGTGAGGTAAGAGAACTGCTAGGTGTGAGACTCTGGGCATGGAAAAGATGTTGCCAAAGAGAGATCTCAAAGCCCCTATTCTCAGAACATTTTCTCATCAGTGACTCACTTGGACAAAATCAGAGGTGACAGAACGATCCTATTTCTGTGGTTGTCAAAAAGCAAAGATGAGTAAGAGCACGCTGGGTCAGAGCCAGCCACAAGAGAGCGAGCAGGAGGGGAAGCCAAGTCCTCTGTTCTGGTACCAGGTCAGGATGACAGAGCCTGGGAGGGACAAAGGTATCAGAACAAGGGAGGCACAAACAAGCTATGGCTGAGCCCAGTCCAGAGGGATCGGAGCCAGTGGCCCCCATGTGTGCCGGAGAAACACGCATCAGAACCAAGGTGTCTGGAGAAGAGTGACCGGGTCAGGCTGTCCAAGGAGCGGTTTATATCCAGGACAGCGTGCAGCCCCCAGCCAGGAAGGAGCAGGGACCCCCTCCCATCCTTCCTACCCATGTCACACTCGGCTGGTATTCCCGACACACAGTTCTTTCTGCTGGGCAGGCCCTGCCCAAGCTGGGCGGGCACAAACACAGCTTTGGAGAACTCTCCATGGCAGTGACCGGGGCCTGCTCCAGCCGTCTTCAAGGCCAAGAGAGCTCTCCATCGGCTCCGGGGCAGAATCAGGGGCCCTACAAAGGGCTCCAATGGACTCTAATGAGGTAGTGAGCTGCCCGTCATGGGAAGTATTCGAGCAAAGGCGTCTCTCTATCTCTGCCTCTCTCCCCGTTCCCCTCATCTCCCTCCTCTCCCTCCCCCCTCCTTCCCCTCCCCCCTTTTTCCCCTCCCCCCTTGACTGTCTCCATCTCCACCGCCCAGGGAACACCCCAAGTACTCCGCTGGCCCCAAGGGCCGGAAGGGAAAGCAGATGACCCCGCCTCCCGCTCCCACACCACCAGCTCCCCGGCCCTCATCTCCGGCCGCCGCGCGGTGCCCACGAGGTGGGCCAGGCTCTACGGCGGGACACAATGCGGATGATGCCCCCCCCCGCCCCACCCCCAGGCCAAGGAGAAGGGAGAGGGCCGATCCTGCCCCGCCCCCGGGCCGGACCACTGGCCCTCCGGACAGCTGCCTGCCCCGAGCCCCAGGCTGGAGGTCGGGGCAGGCTGGAGGCGGGTGCTCCCGAGTCGTCGAGGGGCCTCCAGGGGATCGGGGGACGCCAGGGTCAGGGGTCAAAGGCCGGGGCTCACCTGCGCGTGCGCTACGACCAGGCTCTTGTTGCCCTCCCCGTGGTACGTCCATTCATTCTCGTCCATCTTGGCCGCGTCCATGCCCCGGCCCCGGCCCCACCTCAGACTGGACTCGGCCCCGGCCCTGGTTGCCTGCCCTCGGCCCGCGCCCGGCCCCGGCCCCCACCCCAGGCTCCGTCACCGCCGGCTTCGGGGAGCGACTGTCACCGGCTCAACACGACAGGGCGCGACGGGCCCCCGCCCGGAAATGACGCCGAGGCGCCGGCGCGTGCGGGCTGCGTGAAGCCTGCGTACTTCCGCCCGGCGGGGTGGGAGGAACTTAGGCTAACGGCCATCTTGACTGCTGGCAAGGCGGGCCCAGGATCGGGCAGGAAAAGAGGCTTCCGATTCCGGCGGCGCCTGCGCCTGCGCTGTGCGTGCTCGGCCGGGGTCTGCTGGCAGGGCCGGCATCCCCCCTGTCATCAAGCGGCTCAGGGCCTGGCGGGGATGGGAGGCGGGAGGTGGCCGAGAGAACGGAAAGCAGAAGATGACGCACTGTGTGGAAGGAACAAAGAGAAGGCCAGGGAAGCTGGGGCCAGCCTAGGAAGAGACTCCACTTCATCCTAGAGGCAACAGATAGGGAGTCATGGGACCTTCTTGAGCAGGAGAGTGACTGTTTGAGAGCAGAGCTTTAGGAGGAATGTCCAGGATTATTTATTGTGATCTTATCCCTGAAGCCCTTTAGCAAAAGGTGGATTCTTTTGGTGTCTCCTGAGCAGGACACGTGTGAGGCTGCTCAGGAGACGGCTAGCTACACATGTAAAAGGACGTCGTTGAAGAAACCAGGAATGGATGACCAGATGAGTGTCCACGGCCTGGGCTCACAGATTTAGGGTTGGAAAGGACCCTAGAAATCATAGAGGCTTAGCTCCCATTTTACAGATAAGGAAACTGAGGCCCAGAGAGGCATGGTTGGGTTAGCTACAACATAGGCTTGTAGATGTACTTCTGGGGGGACACAAAGAGGTCACCTAGTCCAGTCCCAGTGCTTTACTGATAGCCCTTAGACATGGTGAATCCAATTATCTCAAAATGAAACTCATTATCTTTCCCTCCAGGCTCTCCCTAACCTCCCTATGAGGGATAACCAATTATCTGCCAAGCCCTGGCAATTCTACCTCTTCTGATCTGTCCTCACTTTCATCTTTACAACATCTCTCATCCATTTCACTTCTCCAACATTTCTTGCCACTTTGACCCTTACATTTCTCATCCGATTTCACCTTTGCAGCTTCTTTCCACCTCTGCACCATCTTTTATCACTTTCATCTCTGCAGCATCTCTCAGACTTCACCTTTACATTATCTCTTGTCACTTTCACCTCTGCATCATCTCTCACAGATTTCACCTCTGCAACATTTCTCTAGTACACCCCTTGTCTCCTCTGCCCTTACCCTGGTACAGGCCCTCACCACCTCAGCCTGCCTAGACTCTCTCTCCACTCCAGCCCACTAAAGTGTGCCCTAAAACACAGGCCTAACCATGTCAGACCCCTACTCAATAAACTCCGGTGGCTCCCTGTTACTTCCAGGAGCACATACCAAATGTTCTGTTTGGCATTCAAAAGCCCTTACTAACCTGGCCCTTCCTACCTTTCCAGTCTTCTTACACGTTAGTCCCCACTCAGTACTCCAGTCCAGTGACACTGGCCTCCTAATTGTTCCACAAAGAAGACCCTCATTTTTCAGCCCTGGCCATCCCCCAGGCCTGGAACGCTCTTCTTACTCATCTCTATGTCCTGGCTTCAGTCCCAGCTAAAATCCCCCTTCTACAGGAAGCCTTCCCTAATTCCTCAATTCTCTTGCTTTTCTTTCCTCTGTTGATTCTATTTATCCTATATATAGCTTGTCTTAGTTGTTTGTGTGTTGTGTCCACCATTAGGCTGGGGGCTCGTCTACAGCAAAGACTGTCTTTTACCTTTCTTTGTGTTCCCAGTACTGAGTACAGTGCCTGGCACATAGTAGGTGCTTTATAAGTGGTTGTCTGTTTGACTGTTTTTACTTTTCTTATATTCTTGGATTTTAGAACAGTGCCTGACATATACTAAGTGCTTAGCAAATGCTTGTGGCTTGCTTGCTTGCTACAAACAAGGAAACTGAGGCTGGGTGGTTAAGTGACTTTGTATTGTGCTAATAAGGATTCCAAACCCTAGGGCAGTGCCCACCCCACTGCCTTAGCCACTTAGAGGGGTGTCATGAGATACTAGCAAGTTGAGAAAGGACAGGCTTGGACAATACCCAGAAACTTGGCGAGGGCTCTGTGAAGTGAGGTGGAGGGCAGCGGCAGTCCGAGCCACTGCACCACATGGACTGACTCCGAGGAACAGAAAAAACACCACCAGCAAAGGCAGAAGAGCCCCACCGACAGAGGGGCTGTGAGCAGGCCAAAGCAATGGGACTCTGACCCCAGCGGGAGAGCCCCCTCCTCATGGGGCTCACCTGTTTGTGGCCTTCCCCGGGGGGACAGCTACGGGCATTCCCTGTGCTCACCTCAGAATGCAGGGGAAGCGGAGCTTCTGAATATGCCCCATTAGTCTGATACTTGACACTGCTGATTTAGCAGCGACTAGAGAAGTCCGTAGGTATGTGGTTAACCAAGAGTTGGTTTGGGGAAACATTGAAAGGAGACACCATCATGGAGAAGGAGCCTCCTCTACTCATCACCAACAGCAATGGCAGCTGAGCAGCTCCCATAGACAGATAGACACAGTAGCCCTGGGAGTGGCAGCATGACACCCCTCCCCCCAGTCCTTGCCCAGGGGAAGCAACTTCTCTGGAAAAGGAGCCACTTACCTACCAAGCAAGTAGACCAGCCTAGCTGAAGCAGCAAGCCCTGTGCCCCACCCCCCCACCCCACCCCAGAGAGAGACAGCAGGCAGCCCATTCAGGGCAGGTCAGTGCACCAACACCCTCTGGACCCCCCCAGCTCCCCTCAGACCCTGATGGAGACAGCCCAGGACCCTGAGCCCGAGAGCCTTGGGAAGGACCAGGCTTCCAGCCCAATGCCCCTGGGGGGATGCAGCCTGGGCCCTGCTCCTGCAGGGGCTGCAGGGAAAAGGAAGCCCTGGTCACCAAGATCCCAGGCCCTCTCTGGTCCAGGCTCCACATCAGGCCCTGCTGTTACTCTCTCAGTGGGGAATGAGCCCCTTTTTCAATGAATTAAGATAAAAAGAAGTTAAATGACTTGCCCAGGGTCACACACCTACACCTAGTAAGTGGCTGAGGCCAGTTTTTTTTTGGGGGGGGGAGGACGGCTTAGGCAATGGGGTTAAGTGACTTGCCCAGGGTCTGTGTGAGCTGGTAAATGTTATGTGTCTGAGGCCAGATTTGAACTCAGGTCTTCCTGACTCCAGGCCCAGTGGTCTATCAACAGCCATCTAACTACCACTTGCACAGAGTAGGGTCCTAGTAAATACTTTTTGTTATTCATTCATTGATTGAGAGGAGCGTGCCTGACTCAGTGTCCCTCGCAAGTTATGCTGAGTCTCTCTCCCCATCAGACTCTGTGCTCCTTATCAAGGCTGGGGGTCCTTCAGGCGCCACTAGGAAGCGGCTTCTTCATCTCCCCACCCCCTGGCTCCACAGGGCACACTCTCCCTACCTTTCTCCCAATTACCCCCTCCTCCATCTCTTCATGTCTCCATGGAGCTATTTTGTAAAAGAATGAACGTTGGTCCCAGGTGACTTATCTTTCCCATTGTAATAGGGATTTTGGTGTTGGAGGGGGCTGTGACCATCTCTAACCCACACATGAAAAAAACCTGTCTGTAACAAGACCAGGTCAGTCCAAACTGTGAGTGAAACCTGCCAGTGAAAGCCCCACCACCTCCCCCAAAGCAGCCATCCCACTGGAGGACAGCCCTGAGGTTTGCCCTTATCTCCAGCCTAAATCGGGTTCTTTGTAACCCCCCCCACACACACACACACACAGAGCTCCCAGTTCTGCTCTCTGGGGCCAAGCAGAGCAGGCTGATTCCTCCTTCCCTCCAGACTGCACCTTCCCCATTGCTCATTCTGTCCTCATTTGTCAGAGCTCAGACTCCTGCCCCATCCTGCTCTTCCTCCTCTAGAGATTCTCCCTCACATCACTGTCCTTCCTCAACAACTCCCTAGAGGGCCCAGCCAGGGCAGGAGACAGGCTCCATCCATGGGACCTCTGCTGGTTCGGTTTCCTTTCCAGTATTATAAAACAGCTTCTGGATCAGCTCAGCAGATAGCACTGTGTGGCTTTCAGTAAACAGGAAGCATTTGTTAAGCCCTACTATGTGCCAGGCTCTGGGATCCCTGCTGTGGGCTTGGGGTCCCCAGTGGCTGGCCCAGGAAAGTTTTGTTGAATTGAATCAGTGAATGAGATTTATAGTTGATAACATCAGTTACTGTGCCTGGAACTGGATTCGAAGTAAAGTTGGAGTAAAATCCCTCCCACATGAGGTCCATAGAAACCACTGCAAATTAAAGAA